AAGTGAATTTCTCATTAAACTTAAGTGTTTGGGTCACATATGCATTAAGTTAACATTGGTTATGAAAGCAAATTGAGTTTGCTGATTAATTACACTAGGAGTGGTAGCTATTACTATAAGGCAATGGGTGTGTTAAGTAATGCTATCAAGTGCCTAATTGGGTGGCTCGTCTACCCATCAATTAGTGACTGTATTAACAAAGGTAAACAAAAGCGCTTAGAACTGTTAATTAATGTACAATACAAATTGAGGAAGGAATCATAACGAGCGAGCTACTGATTACACAATGTCCCCATTAGGTTTTAGAATATCTCTGGGATTGCCAGATTTAAATAATTTACAGTCAATGAAACAGGTTCCACAAAAAATCACAAAAAAGCTGGTTAGACAATGTTACTCATGGATAATTTAGAACCACACTCTTTCGACATTTCTAATCATCTCTCAATATAGTCAAGCTATGTAAATTTTATATTTTATATAACTTTCCCATGTTAAATACTTAAGATCGTTGAATAATATTCAACAGTTTAACTGTAATTACTCCTCCGATTATTCATTGAATTCGATACGAATGTGAATTCTGTTGAATTATGCTGGAAAGCATTAGTAATCGCTTCTTCATTAGCATTTATATTCCTACCATATCGAATTGGATGCATCATCAGCATCATTCTCATCGCAGTGCCTTTCACAACATTCCCAAACGATTAGCGCCGACATAAGCAATCCGCGATGAACAGCAAAACCAATTTGCAAATGATATTTTTGCATTGTTCCATTAATAATGTACGATTTAACTACACTTCTATATACATTTATAGTCGCTACCACCCACGAGCTTTCTAAATGACAAGACATTTGTCTTGGATATAATATAGGCATAACAATAAACATTTGGCCAGCACTCTAAATACCATCGGATTAGTCATAGTTCAGATAAAATAACAGCAAACAAAAGCCACGCCAAAAGTGGCTAATCTATTGATAAATCTCACAGTAGCCCACAACTGTGGGGCAACTGCTTAAAAAAAATTGTAGGCCAGGTTGCAAGCGGCAATGAGTTGGAATTAGTGCCACATGCAAAAACTATTCGCAATAAGTTGTATAACAGCTAAAAATTAATGTTTAACAAAGGAAAAGTATAACAGCTATCACAACTGTTATACTGGTTCTGATTCTGACTTTAAAACAATAAAAAAAAACACAGCCACAACTTATGCCTGCTTGTTTGTATAACAGTTTGTGCTTAGCCTGTTAAACTATTATAAATGCTAGCTATCCGCGCTTTTAGGGTGAGATTTGCCTTCACTTATAGCACATTAGCATTGCAAATGCAACAGGCGATAACCAAAACTAATTGCAAAAGCTCCTGTAGGCAATCAAGTCAAGCAAAGTGAATGGAATTCGCCAGAGATTGGCAGTGACTACAAATATATATAAATGCATATGTGGGCGACTGCTTGAGTAGGTCCGGGAACTCAGTTAGAGCTGGAGCCAAAGACCGAGCCGGAGCCGGATCTGTGCATTGGCATACAAGTCAATGAGGTTGACATACAGAGTAGAACATTTGTCTGATGAAATTGTGAGCGACAAAACCACAAACACAAAAAATCTGTCATTAATCTCGAGCGCATCTGTGACACGGGCTTCTGGCTGGCAACATTTGCATGCCAAAACGGTGACAATCAACGGTAGCTGAGACAGCTCAACAGTTCATTGGCGCCGTGACAAGCCCACCAACAGAGGCAACAGGGCAACACTTGGCAACAGACAACCAACAACCAACAACAGACAACCAACAGCAGACAGCAGACTCTCGGCGCAGACACATCTAGCGAGCCTCCAACGGCATTTTTTTTGTCTGAATACTTCTACATGGGCTGATCCGCTACACAGCGCGAAAAAAAGTGAAATATCTTATTGAGAGTATTATTCGCACTCGCTTCAAAAAGCACACAAAGTTTTCATTACTTAAATTGATTAATTAAGTTCTTGAACAATCAAAATCATAAATCAATAATAAATAAATCAAAATAAATCATCTTTAAATATGCATTTTTAGCTGGCTCCAGGTCAAGGTCCCGACGTGATTCGAAATATATCGGAGCATATATAAAAAAATAACAAATAAAACTTGACTTGGAGCCAGCGAAAAATATATTTATATTATAAGAGAAGAGGTCACCAAGCAATAAATTGGCTTTATTCCTTTTAAGCCGACTAAGCCATTCAATTTTGGACTTGTGAAATTTTTCTCGTTGTGTAGCTCAAGCTACACCTACATACCTTCACTGCCAACATCTCAATACTATCGCAGCTGCAGACATAACAACTACACGCCCAAGTTTTCTACTGATTCAGACATTTGGTGCAGTGGGACCAACCTGGTTTTTTCCTATTGGGAGGAGGGGCTGATAAATTGAGTTAATTGTATGGTGCGCTTGGGTCACCTGGCCAGCCAATGCGCCAATGTTGACCTTCAAAATGTCAGCTCGAGTTTCCGTTTTACACGCAGGCCAATTAACTGATGGCTGCTGACAACCTAAAAGAAAATTGTATTTCTAAACAAAGTTCGTTGCCTAAGTCTTTTGTTTGGACTTGGTGCTGGTGATGTAAGTGGGGTGAGTGTTGTGCGGGTTGTGCCCGATGGCTGTTGTCAGCATGACGCGAGCATAAAAATAAACATCCCAGTCTGGCGGTCGACTGTTATAGTTAATGGGCCTCAGTGGCTACGCGCGACGGCATTAACAAGATTTAATGCTAAAAATAACAAATGAGAAGCAATTACCACAGCCCAGACACTGGACTCGAAACGGCAACTCAGTCTCTGACAAACTGTGAAATAACCCACGCGACCAGCGGCGAGTACGCCCCACAGGTACACAAACACACACATAATACACGAACATGTATCTTTTGATTTGATGATGTGACTCGAAATAGCCAAAATTATAAAAAAAAAAATCATGAAAAAATATATATTATTAGCAGAAGAACAAGGCAATACTTTATTGGAGGGGTTGGTGGGGGTTAATGCGGGGGAGTTGTAGACAGCCACTCAAGAGGCAGAACGACAGTCATTCAGCCGGCACCCGGATTCGTTATTTATGGCATACGGCGGCTAAGAAGTTTTTATGTGATTGGGTTTGCCTGCTGAGACACAATTCATCACGTGCGTCATTTGAAACAGTTCAATCGATTGTTGAGCTCGCTTCTCATGCTCGACAATCCATTTTTTGGGAGTTCAACGCATTGAAGGTCAACTAACGGCACACATTTTATTACTTATCATCTATCACAATGGAAGCCCTTACCTGTTGCTTTCAATCAGTTACGAATCATTTGTAATTGTTTGGCATAACAGACATGTTTTACTTATTTCAATTGCAATTCAATAGCTTTCTCTGGCTATCGATGGCATTAACCGGTTCCTTACGCTTCTCTTCTAATTGCCAAATTCCCCAAAAAAACATAAATTAAAACGGATACGCATCTTGTACTTTCGAGTTTGTAGAGCACGCCAAACAAAAGTAACGAAACGAAAACAAAGCAATTCTAAAGCACATCAAATCCGGTTGAATCCCGGTTCCCAAAACTTGCTTGCTTAGGAACTTTTTGATCAACAATTAATAATTTGATACATTTTTCTTTTCTTTTATCGAAATACGCCTGCTGTGCGAAATTTGTCTGCATATAATTAATATAATTACTAATTTATTAATGAAAAGTTATTTGCACTTTTTTTGACAGTCCCAATGTTGCCCCGCCCAGCCACAAGTCTTTTGATTCCATTGCGCAGATAGAACCTATTTATCAATTAGCGCGATATTTTTTTGTGTGTGTTTTCGGCTTGTTGAACACTGTTTTGAATTTTAAAACAATTTACTTAATTAATGGGCTATTAAACAACGACTTGTATATGTACAACATAAAATATAATGTAGCTGGGCGTCTATCTACTTTCGTAGTGGGTTGCGATCTAGAGATGAACATCGAAGCGGAACAAAACTGGGCAATCGGAAACAGTTTACTAAATAATTTAATTGGCCTTGGCCACGCTCCGAAAGACAAATTGGTTGGTCAAGCGCCAGTCTCAAAGTAAACATACTACTTATGTTTAAGTATATATCTTTATAAACTAATCTTCATCTTCTCTTTCTGTAAAATATGCTCCACAAAAATTCCGACTGCAGTTAGATAACGCGCACAAAACGTGCCTCAATTTTTAATGCCTATGTTTTGTATATATATACATTTTTTTTAGTTGTCTGAAATTGAAGTTGATAAAAAGTTTTTTTCGGCTTTTTCAAAATTAATAATTAAGGGATCAATTTAATTATAAACGATACATCGCTCACGGGTTCATCTCTGCCTTGAAGCTGTAGATTTTGCTGGCGCGTGTCAGTTTTTCAGCAACTGCGACTAATGGTTTAAATCGCTTGATTTGTGGTTGATAGCGAAACAACAAAATGGGCGGTTAACAAAAAAATAGCTTAGCACTTTACAGCTATAAAAACAGAGAACTCGCAAAGAGCTGTTGAAAATTTATGCACAACCAGACCGAAAACGGGTTCAACGCGAATAAATAGCAAGGCAATGACCCAGAGAACTACTCAATATGCCGTCGACAGCAGCAGATCTGGAATGGTGGGATAAAGTCCCCAACAACTATCAAGATATCTTTCTTGCTCGAATCTCGTATACAACTATCAGACTATCTATCTATCTATCTTGCTCTAAATCTTATTCGAACACATTCCACATAAAAGCCTGAGAACTTTATTAGCTCTGCTCTGTTGTCATTTTGTAAAAGATCCATGGCCACAACAAGAGTGGAAACAAAATTGGCTGAGAGAATTTTGTGGTGGGCTACAAATTAGCACGAAATTAATTGCATTTAAGCAGCAATAAAAATGAAAAATTACTTTTATCGCGACGTTAAGATCGTGTCTCTCTTTGTGGCACCCATCAAGCGTTAACTGAAACCCAAAACCGAGTTGTATTTTAAATTTATTTCTTTCGCATGCGAGATTTAAGGCGGCGACCTGTGATCTGTCATGGAAACGTAGTCGCTTTCACTAATTCCCTCGCCCAGCAATTACGATTAACATATGTAAATCGCAATCTGTGATTGTTTCTTTTAAGTGTTAACAAATTTGTGGTAGTTAATTTATTCGGTAAGTGTTGGAAAAATGCAGGAGACACATTTCGAAAATGTGTCGCTTTTTTTTTATGTGTTAGATATACTGAAGTTGAACGAAAACTTATAGAATATGCATCTGCTGCAACGAAAGTGTTTTCTAATTAAATTTGCATTTGGTGAAGTCCATTTCGGGATGCTGCAGCTTGAATCTGCAATGAAAGAGTTAGATATTAGATATGCATTGTGGATGTGGATGAGAGGCACTTACTTTTCGAGTATATCTTGTTTCTTGCGATCTTCGCTGGTGGGCAGACCCATCTCCTTCTGGCGCTGATCGTACATCATTTTCTCGACCATGCCACGTGTTTCGCCATCCAAATCGGATAGCTTCGATGGCTCTGGATTGATTTTACGTGTGGATATTTCCGGATCGGTGGTCACCAAACGACTCCACCAGTTCATGCGATTGATTTTCTCCAAGGTGATGATCACGGTTTTGCTATCTTGAAGCACCCAAACGGATTCCTCCTGCTTGACCTCGGCATACAGCTCACCATCGATGATAGGCTCTTGACCTTTGAGGCCCACCTTCAATGTCTTCTTGCCAATGCTGACCACAATGTCGCGAGCACGCAAAGCGAAAGAAACATTGAAGGGAATCTTCAGCTGCAATTATTAGAATGGATAAGACATGTTGATAACCAGTTAATGTTAATAATAATAATAATAATGCTGATGAATGATCGCTCTGCAGCAGAAGCAACTTCAATTGCAAACACAATTATAGGCACGTAACCGAGTCAAAACCGTCTCCGGTTGTAATGTGCTTTTGTGATTAATGAACCCGGGAGGGTGGGAGAAGAAGGCTGTGGGGTATTTCTCGCTTTCGAGACGTTCTAGTGGCCACACGTAACAAAGTAAACAATTGACGGCAACAATAACGCTGACGATGTTGATGCCCAATGCTTTGGACAACCTTGGAGCATCAGCTAATAACAACAATACAGAAACGATCTATAAATAAAGCACACACAGCAGTTTGTTGGCCAAGAGGCATGTCTTCGTATCAGGCAGCTGCAATCTGACAATCTGGAGCTGCCCTTCACCAGATCGCCTTACTCAAGGACTCCCTGTTGCCAGTTGTTTTCTGCAATCAACGGGAATTTAGACAAGACGCAGAGAGAGAGAGTGTGCGAGAGAGAGAGAGAAAGAGTTCAAGGACGCACAGCGGTTGTTTTTAATGCATATCTATAGACAGATCCGGTTGCAAGGCAGCAAGAGGGCTTGGAATGTTGCTCGACAGGTTGCTCCAGGCACAGGAATCACTATGAAGGATGAGTTCAACAACAAATTCAACCTGAAGTTGAAGTTTGCGAATTTCAAGTTCAAAGCAATTACAATGATGGACTCGCCATGCATATGAACATATATTAGCACCTTTATTCTAGTATAAATACCAAAAACAAAACAAATTAAAATTAATAACGCGATTTTTATATGTGTGAGAAAAAGCAAAGGCGGCAACAGCAGCATAATTAATGCCTGAGTTATTAGACACTCAGTTCGCGGAGCTGAGAACATTGCAATCAATTAGCAAACGGCAATAACGAGCAGCGACCCACTTGCCACAGAGTCTCCGCAGCAGCAGTCTAGCGTGTGGAGTCGCCGCAAAAGCAAAAAACAATAAACCAAAAAAAAAAAAAACAATGCAGCTTTTGGCGGCTCTTTAATTAAAATCACACAAAGCAAATGCGCCTCAAGGACGTTTGCGTTCAAGACAGAAGACAGAAAAAAAACAGAAGTCAGCTGCTTGGCTTCCAACAAGCTGCACGACAAGATTCGTGCGTGCGCTTCTTCACTGTATTTATATGTGTGTGTGGTTGTGTTTGCGTGTGTGTGGGTAGCCAAGGTGCCACAAGAGCAGCAACAACAGTAGTAAACACAAGACAGGCGTTCGGTCATATCAGCAGCTAGAGATGAGCGTGACTTGGGCATTCCAGTCAGAAGTAAAAACATTCCAATCACATTCCAGTCAATATAAGCAAGCATATTTGCAGTTGTTGCAACATCATTCCATTCATCAATAAAAAATTAACTAAAAGTGACTCTGATTGAGACATTCCCAACATTCCCATGATAACTAAAAACATTCCAATCATCCATTTACGTAAATATTTACAAGCGTAAACCACACTCTACATTCCAATCCAAAAATACAACCGATCAATATCATTTACACGCCATCAGCATCTCCACTACGCTCATCTCTAGCGTAAGCTTCTGTTAAGCACTCGAGCGCACTTTGCAACAACAACAACAATAAGAGCGGCAAAGAGTCTTCAACAGTGTCGTGTCGCCAACGCATTGCTCAAACTTTTGACATATTGGATTTTGGAAAATGTGTCAAAACTGAAACTGAAGCGGATGTCAATTGTGATTTTCGAAGCATTGCGACGCGGATGTAAACGGAGGCAATCAACAAGGCGTGGGCGAACCCAATTAGCAAGAATAACAACAGGAACCCAATATGGCTGCTTGACAACAGCAACAGCTGTGCGCATTAATCGATAGATGCATATGTGTTAATTGCTAATCGATATCTGCTAATGGCCTTTCGGCGCGCGTCAAAAGCTGCATTCATCGATAGATGCAAGTGCTAATTACAAATCGAAAAAAAAAAACGACTACCGATATCGGTTAATGGCCTTTCGACGTGTGAATTTGAAAGGGAATTTTTATGAGTGCGCCAAAAAGCTTTCACAGCGTGTTGCCAAGGTTATGTAAACGGGCAATTCTATTCTCCATACTCGAGTTGCTGTGCTATGGCTTTGGTCTTTGGGCTTACAAGTCGGAAATTTACACAAATCACAGCGCGATATCTATCGCACAATGGGCACACACATTAAATCACAGCATCAAAATTAAAGATAAACAATGGTTCATGCAAATGGGCGTGCTGAAAGCAAAGAAGTCAACAGCAAAAGCAACTGAAAAATGATGCCGACAACAACAACAACAACAGCAGCAGCAGCAGCATCAAAAGCAACAAGCAACAAAAGATAAACACAGACAGCAAGTAAGCACAACAATTTAGTCGTCTATCAAAGTTCGAAGCAGATGGAAAAGGTGTCGCATTTGAATTAATTAATAACAACATCGATAATGGCAAACATGGCACACTTATAAGCAGCATCAAAGAGCGCGCGCCAGAAAAAGAGAGAGAGACAGAGAGAGCTGGGCAAAGAAATCTATCAGACGCTTTGGTAGCCGACACTATGTCTGACAGTTGCCGATTATGCAAATATTTGTAGGCCTGCATTAATCGATAGTCAGCTAATCGATCATTCAGGGTCTCTGCACCAGTTCTTCAGCTAAAAATGATACAAAACTGAACAAAAAAAACCGCGCCTGATTTCTTATTTTAGCTATGCAAATTTGCCGGGGGCAAAAGAAATTTGAAACTAACGCTGCCGTTTTCGAAAAATGAAAAAAAAAACTCTTTAGCTCCTTTGGTTGTTGTTGTCGCCCTTTGTTTTGCTTAATTCTACGAATTTCGAAACAAAAATTAACAACAATAACACCAACAAAAACACAAAAAATAAATACAATTTGATTTTTCTTAAATGTGTATGTGTGACGTATAATTTATGCTGATAGAAGCGGCACGGTGCCTGGCACGAAACCCCGATCTCCAAACCAGCGTGGAAACAATCAAAAATGCAAAAAAAAAAATAACTAAATAAAAAATCAGAAAAAAGAAGAAAAAAATCATTTCAAAACTAGCGAGGCGAGTGAGTGGCTAGGTGACTGCGTCGATAACACATTATCAGAAAGACCAAAAACCAAAGTTCCACTGAGGTAGAAAAAAAACCTGAAACTGAAAAAGAAACAGAAACACAGAAACAGATACCGACATCTCCCAAAAGTCGTAGTAAACATATGTATATGTTGGAGTAGATCGGTGTCGTCGCCACTTGGGCCAGACAAATCATCAATTGAATAGCTTCAATCTGATTAGAATGGCAGCTGGAAACTAGTTCTATAAAATAATACGCGGCATAAGCTTGAGCTTAAACTCAAGTGTTTTGTATTTCTGCCAATTGAAATATTTGTGAGCGCTCTAAGCCCCAATAAGCTTGGGTATCTTATTCTGAGAGATCCGGTAGCAGCATTTAAGCCCCATAAACGGTTTCCCATAGTTTGGGCGACAGCTTAGTGGCCTACTTGGGAGACAAATTAACATAATCGATCGCCATTGATCAGCTGTTTTTGATTGATAGCTGAACCCAAAAAAAAAAATCGTTGATAAAAATCTGGCATATCAAACAAATTGAAAACACAAAAGAAAAAACAAGTTCATTATGAGCCAATGTAAATTCTCGCTAAAAACGGATCTCCGGTATAAAAAAAAAAACCAACTATGGAGACGCAAAAGTTCATTTACCGGCGACTTTGGCTAGAAGAAAAAAATTAGGGCTTTACCCCCTGCTGGCAATTGTTTGTCATTGTCGAGGATCTTCTATTCATATTTTTTGTGTTCTTAAGTCGACAGTCTGCAGCGTCTTTGCTCAAATTGAGGCATTAGTTTATATTAGTTTATTACTTTATAACTAGTTGCTTAACGATCCCCATAAAGTCGCCGTCTCAAAGTGTAAAAACGTATATAATGTTTCATTTTTCTATTAACATTTTGTTGGTTTTGAGAAAAACCCATGAAATATATATATAGATAAAGGCAACCTGACGTCATTGAGAATATAAGCGTAGTATTTCCGTTTAACCAAATGACTCAGCTAAGAAACGCGCAGCATGTTTCAAGCATCATTGATTGCAGGCTGTTTTGTTGTCTGTGTGTGTTTTAATATTAGCAAGCAGACCCCGTGGGCAAATTTTCTCTAAAGCGTTAATCTCCAAAATTAGCTACGACAAATGCTGTTATACAGCCAGCAATTAGCTGATGGGTATTATGATAAAGTGCTTTCCTTTGTTATGCATAGTAGAAATTCCATCGGTTAACTGTTTAAGAATCGACTAATGAGTAAGAATATAGAATAATGCTGAGGATAGATTTTGAAAATCAATGAAATATTGTACAAATACAAGTTATCGATAACTTTAAATAATGTATTTGACGAGTAATATTTAAGGCTAATGTAGAAAATGATAAATATTAACCGATTTTTTGATTGATAATCGGTTAATATTCAAATTTAAGCTAGTTACAAGCCATCGAAAACTTTGAAATATATATATTAGGGATATAATTATTAGCGTTATTTGAGAAAAGAAAATTTGGGAATATATTAAATGTCTTCTTTTTTGTAATTATCGGTTATATTTTAAGTTATTCAGTGCCACAGTTGATTAAGAAATTGAGATCAATGGAATTATTTTAGAATCATATTCAAAATAAAGTTGATTATGCAAAATTTAGCGAACTCTATTGTCTTGAATTGAATGCCCATACATAAAGTGTGATTTTTATAAGTGACGCATAGTCGAATCTATCGATTAGTAAAGAAATTAATGTACAACTTATGGATGGCAAATGATTAACGGGGAATTCATTCAAAATCTAATTGATTGCCATTATAGAGTATACAAATTTTGAGCTACCAAATTTTGTATTGATTGTCTGTTTTTTGGGGGAATACGACGCGAGATGTGACGACCATCACGGCTGCCAATTTAGACATGTCTCTGTATGTGTGTGCTGTTGTGTGTGTGTAAAAAACGGAGGGGTTTTCCCTTTTGCTGATAGCGCAGCAAATGGCATTAAATGACTGAACCATTGTCACCACAAAATCTAAGCGACGAGTTTATGAAATGCCAGGCATAACAAACAATACGTACCCGTTTTGCCGGCAGACGCGCGTCAATAGAAACGATGGGCTATAAATTGCTTTTTGCATGCTTAATTATATGCAAAAACAATAATAACAGCAGCAGAAGCAGCAGCAGCAGCAGAAGCAACAACAATCACTGTTTGTTTTTGGCCAAACGCGCAGCCACAACTCGATCTCTAAACAGTTTGGTGAATGTTGTTGATTTAACGTATTGCTTTGAATTGGCTTGTTGTTGTTGCTGCTGTTCTTTTGATGGTTTGCTGTATAGCAAGTGTTGCTGCCTCTGCTCAAGTGTATAGCCGTGTAAGCCGTCCATGGATCTCAGCTCAACTCGCTCTCAGCTCATCTCAATTCCATTTGGTTGGGTTGTCTGTTAGCTGAAGTGCCTGTTGTTAATTTTGATTCTTGTTGCTGCTGCTGCTGGTAACTGGCAGTGTCAGGTAAATCTTTGTCAACTCAGCTGATTAAAACGCACAAACACAAATATATACAGATATATATATACACTATATAGAGACACAGTGCGGCAGCATCTGGGGACCACTCACTTGTCTCACTTAAAAGGTGATAACAAGATGCTTGAAGTTGGTACACAGCAAAGCAAAAAAAAAGCATAAAAAAAGTATGCTGAGACAAATTTGTTATTGTTGTTGGCGTTTGTTGCTACCGTAGCTAAATAAATAAAATTGTAACAATTTTATTTACTATAGTAATTGGCACAGTGTGACAAATGTTTGGCAAGTGCTCATTGTTGTGCATTAATTGGTTAATGATCTCATGTTTATTAAATTATCAAACGCTATATTGAACTATGATGCAACAAGCTGACGCTAGAAACGAAACTTTGATCAATCAAATCAATTTACAAGTTTTCTTTCTTTTTTTTTTGCAAATGTTTAAACAGCAAATGTGAGATTAGTGGTTCCACTGCGATACATCATTAAACAAACGCCCCACTCAAGATATATTTATATTTTTTTTTCGGCTTTTATTATCTGTTGTTCTTTTGGTATGATCTATGTGCAGAATTGTAAGACATATGGATATATCAGTTTGCCTAGTCACAGTTTATGATCTAATCATATGTACTTTTTGGCTAACTGTGCCAATTAGCCATTAATTACAAAAGGGCGTACGTTATGCAGGTCCCAAAATAATCATGTCTTATTAATCTTATAGATTTTTTTTTTTTGGGGAGCCGGATTTGGAAAAACCGCAACAACAACAACAAGACACCCACACTGAGTGCCCTTCAGCATAGATGTTGAAGTCGTGTTGCTGTTGGTTTTGCTAGGCTGTGTTTGGGATTCGTTGCTCGAAGCTCGAAAAACCGATTAAGACAACGTTGCAGCTCAATTTGCCTGGCCTGGGGGCAAACACAGCAAAAAATAAAACAATTAATAAAGGGCAACCAAATCGAGCAGAGACGAGCTGTCCATCTATTTATAGAGATTTATGAAGCCTGAGATATTCAAAACGAAAGTTGTTGAGGAGAACATCAAAGTGTGACAGCGCGGCAAATAGAACGATAGTTGACGGGGCGTTGGTGGTGTAGGGGGTGAACTGGTATATATCCTGCCCACGCTAACCGGCAATTGATCACAGAATGTTTGTACAAATATAGCACAATGAGTGAGACAGCAACAGCAGCAGCAGCCTATCGTTTATGACATGCAAAATCCGGCAAGAAAGTTACCAGAGAATAGAAAAAGCAGCAACAGCAGCCGCAAAAGCAGCAGCAGCAGCAAATAAAGTTTGCCCAGCGAAGCAAACAACCTGTCGACAGCGTTAACATCAATTTCAACGTCACTAACAGCGCTGGCAGCGACGTCAACAGCAGCAGCGACGTCGACAGCAGCAGCGACGTCAGCAGCAGCAGCGACGTCAGCAGCCGCAAAAGTTGCTCTGGGCAGTTAGATTGAACGGCGCGCGCCGTTTGCTTCAGTTTGATTCTTGACGCCGTTTAGATCGGTTCTGTTTTTGGCGCGTGCTAAAACAAAAGTTAAAATACAATCAAGAAGAAGACTTTGTACGGGCTACAAATCGCTGGCATTGATTCAGAAAAGCCAACAAAAGAAAATCCAGCGAGCTAACCTGACAAATTAGGAACCAAAACAGCGACTGTCCCACACAGTTGAGTGTTTTGTGCCCAAAAAAAAAAAAAAAAACAAAAATTAAGAACACATTTAAAGACTGAAAAACTGGCATATTAAAAATATACATCGATTGTGATATTACAAATTTAGTTAATTGTGTGTGATATTTAAACTAAGTTAATTCTTCCAAAAATATACAACACATTCATAAAAAGTAAGTAAAAATTACATTGGGCAAACTGGCTAAGCAAGTTAAGATCTCAAAAAAAAAAACCACAAAATATATAAATCGAAAATTTGTCGAGTGCCGGGGCTTGAGAGGCTGATAAGACTTCCGCATACTTAAAAAAATGATATTTACACAATATATGCTTAAATATAATAAATAACAAAGCGAGAAAAAATAAAACAGCTCAACAAATTTTCTGTGCACGAAAACAAAAGACTTAGGCAACGAACTTCACAAGTAATGTATGTGTCGCCATGTGTGCTTGTGTGTCTGTATGTGTGTTGCTTGTATGTGTGTGTTGCTTATGTGTGTGCGTGCAACCAATTTAGAATTAATTGCAACAATTAAAACAATACAACAACAGCATAGCAAAAATGTCATTTGCATTTGGACAGGCCAAAAGTGCCAATAAAATGAGAAAGGCAAAAAAGACCAACATAAAATATAAAGTCAAGAAAAAAAATCAAATCCGAAGCAAACAACAAGAGGAGTCCCATTAATAACAATAACAACAAAACTAGCTGAATAAATAATAGAATACAAATCTGCCTTTTAAAATACATAGCCAGGCAAATATCAGTCCATAAATATCAAACGGGTTGCCAGAAGACTCGAAAGTTCACTTTTATAACCAAACCAAAAACTCAAAAATAAGAAAAAAATAAATTAAAGCGAAGAAAGAAAAAAACTTAACCAAAAGACTTAAGTCGAGGACGGATTTGACAGTTTTTTTTTCGGGACTTTATGGTAACTTGGAGCAAATTTTGCTGTATAACAATGGCATTTAGGGCATTAAAAGGGCAAAATATGATGGACAAAATACAATTAATAATAAATTAGTGTAGTGAGGCGGGAAGGAGGAAAGGCTAAGTTAGAAATATAGAAATCAGAATGGCATATTTGAATTTATAAAAAGAGCATATAAAGTGGAGACCAAATTAAATCAGACAAAGGGGCAATTTACCAATTATAAAGTGATTATATAACAGATAAAGTAAAATTATTATTAAGTTTTAAATGTGGGAAATTGTGTAAGAGCTAACGTTCTTTATATTGGAATTAAAATGAAAATTTATATTTTAAAGTTAAAAATATCGACAAAAAGGTTTGCAGAAACTGAGTCTATCAGAAAAACACAAATAGGTGAAAGATAAAAACTTTTCAATAGATTATTATATAAGAAAGTTACATTCGAAAATGATAAAAAGTGCAGACCTAATATGTAAGATTTGAAACCAAAAATGGGAGATCAAACAAATAACATTCAATAATAATAATATATAATGATTAAGCAATTATTATATAAAGGTTGACACCAACTAACCAATATCTATGTATATGTTTATTGCCCCTTTGCAGATGCAGGATTATTGGCATATACCACGCGCCTCGCTCGTCTCCTCCAACAGCTCAGCAATGAGCTCGGCGAGTTCGTCGAAATCCTCGAACAAATCGAACTCAAATCCACCAACGCTGGCGCAGCGCAGCATTGTTTCGGCCAATTCGAATGCCACAAGTGCAGCAGTTACAGCTGCTGCGGCGGCAGCAGTGCTGGCTGCTGCCAAGCGAGGATCACGCTCCTCCCAGGGCTCCAGCGATAGCAACAATAGCACAAGGGTAGGTCAATCAAAGTGAAACCAAAACTAGAAATGAAACTAAAATCAGTTTCTTGGACAATTACAGAGCGCCGCTTCTGGTTCACTGCTGCTGACGGCAGCGAATCTGGAACGCTTTGCGGAGATCCACAAGAAACAGGAGCGTCAGCACAAAATGATGCTAACGGAGCAGCTGCCCAGTGTGCATGGGAATAGCACCAGCTCGGCCAACTACAACGCGAATCTAACATTGGCCAACAACAATGGCAACGACAACAAGGATGCCGTTATACCCATCGATGCTGATCCCAATCTGCAGTACGTACGAACCAAAGATTTGGACACTGTGTCCATTGCCAGCTCCATGCACTTCACCATGGTAAATGGCGAACCAGGCGGCGCCAAGAAACCCAAACGTGGACTCTGCGATCGTGGTCGCCAGGTGACCGTGTTGATTGTCAGCATGAGCACCATCTTTCTGCTGCTCATCATGGGCATGGTCTATGCACTGGAGAGTAAGTATTTTTCAACTCTAACAATTCTCTACAGCACTCTCTCTAAAACTCTCTCTCTCTCTCTTGCTCTCTTTGCAGTGCGTGCTCGTGACATGCCCAAAAGCTAACACGTATATTTTGGGCGGGATCCTTCCCATTTTTTTGGCTTCTTAGTTTATTATTTATTGTATGGATTTGCCGTCGTCAATTATTATTTTTGTTATGCGTCGTCGTCGTCGTCGTTCGTCATCGTTTAAGTTATTTATTATCAAAACAATTGTTTGAGAAGCGAAATTTTCGTATGGCCAGCCATGTCATACTAGTATTAAGCAAAATAGTACATCTAATTAGCGGTTAATTAATGGATACCAATTAACAAATTCCCAGACAATGATTGCAACTGAAGTGAATGCCGTAGTTATATATACACAATATATATAAATATATATTTATCCACTTATCGAAATAATTATACATACATATGTGTACGAAAAGTTGAGAAGCAAGCGAAATGTATTTTTCTGTTAAAGAATTAAGTTATTTAGCCCTGTGATATGTCAAATAAACAGAATTAAAATATGTATGCAAATTACAAGCAATTAAATGTTAATTCAATTATAAACATGCAATGCATCAACTAGATGGATGCTGAATGCTTTTGATGCCTGGGATCAATAACCCCACTGACGACTTGTGTAAAAACATCTGGGCCCAAAGCACTTCACTTATGACGCATTTTACCTTAGCAACAATGCGAGTGAAGTTTTGCAGAATTTATTTTTTTTTTTTGTTGTTGATTTTATTGAAATGCGGTTTTGGATCTAGATGCCAAAGCATGACTCATAAGCAAGAAAAGCTATCTTAGTCACGGCAAAGATTATATGCTCTTCTCGAACAGAGTTAAACGGCTGACATCAAAATATCATTGATTTGTGGGTTTTAAAAATATCAATTTAATTGTTTTCTGTTTCACGACTGTATTTGAGTTGAATACTCCACATTTAAGAAGTTATATTGTATCAGAAAGCACGATCTGTTCGTGAACGCCTATATTGATGCCAAAACTGAAAACAGAACTTCCGAACGATTGTTCGCACGGCAACTATTTGATATATAGCTATATGATAATGGTCCGATGACAAACTTTCAGCGAGATAGCTTTAAAACTGAGATCAAGATATTAAGAAAATTAACGCACAAATTGACACCATAAACACAGACCTTATCAGGAATATATATACTTTAAGGGACAACGACAAAAGTATATTATCTTCTACAATAATATAAAGAAGGTACTGCTTCTCAGAATCGATTTATTTTATAAGAAGTTATAATAGTATAATATACTTCAAGCGATTGTTCCTACGCAGCGTTTGTGAGATAGAAATTCGATGTGGAGCGAACTTTATGAAAATATTAGCAGCATAATAACATTAGAAAAAGCTGCTAGTGTTTGACAAAAGGTTTCAATTGGTACTAAAGAATATAATAGACCGATGCTGATAACATCTATAAGTATGTTTAATATCTATTGCTAGAGATAGCTCCTCCAATGCGTTACATATTTATTGAGAAAAATAGTTGTTTCTGCTGAGACTCACATCACTTTAGATACGCATAATTTCCCTGGCAACAACAAATATGATCTCCTTGACAACATCAGAAAAGTGTTTCCAAGAGGGGCAAACAAATTTTAAACATTCAACACTCACCTCCAACTCCTGCAGCGTTTGAGTCCACATGTATTTGTCGAGGGTGCAGCCGTTGCCAGCATTAGGTTGCAGTTTGCCAACTTCAGCCTTTTCGCTCTCATCATCAACCTTTTCGATGGGCTTCGACAGCTCCTCATTGGTGGCACTCAACTTGGCCGAGTCGCCTCCAGCGCCAGCCAGCAGCGCCTGTCGTTTTCTATAGCAATGAAAAAACAGAAACATTTAGTTAGTTTTGCTTTTGAAGATTACTTTTAGAGGGGTCAACGAACTTGTCCTCCTGCTCCTTGATGATGGCAGCTGCTTCCTCGTCGCTAATATCACAAATCTTATTGTCATCCATTTCCTTTTGGCGTGCCTCTCGCTCCGCACGCTCCTTCTCATCCTTCACACGCTGGGCAGCGTCGCGTGCCTTGACCTTCTCATCGTGGTCAGCCATGGCCAGTTTGGACTCTTTGCGAAACACACCGAGCAGCATTTTTTCCCACTCGGACTGTTTGGCGCCCGTATAAAAATCGGTTTTGCGTCGCAAAAAACTCGCCAATGTCTGCAGAAACTGGAACAAGCGTGCAAACAGCGTGTTTTTAAACTTTGTAGAAAAATAGTTGTGAAATGACAAAGGAATAAAGAACAGTGAGCACACTTCTCAGCATGCATGAAACATTCCTTTGTGTTGAGAAATTATCGTCAGCATGTTTCTTATATTTGTTTAGCATGCCGTTTGTTTTGTAGGGGAAATACTCACGTCGGGTACGCCGCCTCGATGCTTCTCGGCCAAAGCCAGCAATATGTTATCGTACTGTGCTTCCTCGGCGGACATTGTGTTTGTATTGAAAACAAATAGCGTTTGATTTAAACTATTCTATTTGATTGTATTCTGGAAATTTCCAAACACAATCCTAATTCTGAGTTGACTTGTGTGCCGGTGACTGAGAGTGTGACCGAATTGACAGTACATAAAAATTACAACTCGTCAAAAGCGCTATCGCTAGCAATATCGATATTTTTGATGCTGACAACGATGTTGGGGCATATCAATCAGCTTTTCACATAGTGCAATGTTGAGTAACGTATATTAAAAATTCTGTTGCATAACGTTAGGTAAATTTGAGCTGTCTTCGTATCGTTTAAGTGAAGAAAATTTTCGAAATATGCTTTTAGGCAGCAGGTATTCAGGCCACATAAAACGCCGCTTAAAGTTGTATGAGAATTGTCTTTGTTTATTTATACGCAAACATCTGCTTTTGCATAAAAGCTCTTTCAGCTTCCCACTTTTCTCACTCTCTCGCGTCACATCTCTCTCTCTCTCTTTGCAATGCATGAGTTTCGTCCTAGGCTCGTTCGCTCATTCTCATTCGGTCTCTTGAAGGAATCAGTCGCATTCTGAAACCGTCGGACGTTGACAAAATAAACCAAATCGAAGTGCTAAAAGCAAACGGTTATACTGAAATTTTTTATTCATTTTGTGCTTAATGTGAAAGCAGTTGAACTGAGACAACAACAACAATAACGAAAAAGTAATGCAAAAATGTTGAATTAAATGTAAACGCAAAAGTGAATGAAATGAGTTTAAATAAATATTGTGCTTTAAAATTCTGACACCCGCATAATAGTTTCCTCTACTCCCAGAGGAGTTTTTAGCTTGCAAAAATCGATACATTTTACTTAGCGCATACACACACACTTGCATAATAAATAAGTACACAAATGAAAGCGGAAAGCATGAGGAGATTGGCAGAGCAGAAGAAGTCGACTCAGCAGCAGCAGCAGCAACGTCTGCTTATAGTGTTGTGCAAACAATTAGAGAGACTCTGTCAATGCTTCTGAGCACTGAAAGTTATAAATAACTCTTGCCTTGCACAGTGTGTACATACATAATTTGTTTGATTTACAGTGATAACTTAATGATTCTCCATTTATGAAAGGCGCTGTGTAAGCAATAAGTAAAGCTCTTCCATCCTCTCTACCCACTGCCATCTGCTTCTGTCCTGCAGCAATTCTTCCGCCCTCGTTGGTTAACTGAAGTTTTTTTTCTCTATCTGTGTGTGTGTATTGTTTGTGCGTTTCTTGGTATTGTATCTATTTGGCAATGTTTATGAGAGTGCTCCAACCCTTTTGCTCAAGTCGCTTTGCATGTGTATTTTTTATTTTACTACTCTTTTTTTTTTGTTATTTTGTATCTGCTTTCTTGAATTCTTTGCACGCGACGACGACAATAAATACAGCTTTGCTCGCTATCTTGCCATGTGCGCGCCAAAGCCGTTCCAGAACAGAACTGAGCAGAGCATAATAGAACTGAGCAGCGTAGAGTAGAGTAGAGCAACGTAGAGTAGAGTAGAGCACCGTAGAGTAGAGTCGAGTAGAGTAGCCAGTCAGCAGCCTGCTCCGCTTCAAGGTCAGTCTAAGGTTAGCTCTGCAATTGCGACGCGCAGAGCCAGAGGCAGAGACCATGGCAGTGATTTTGAACGCTGTGCGTTGGTCGCTGCTGTCAATGTTTTTGTTGTTGTGCTTGTTCTTCTCCTTCTCGTCGTTGTTGTTCTCCTTTTTTTTCGACACCAAACGGGCTGGCCCTGCGGCCATAATATGGGTATGTAATCGCACCAGTGTGTACACACACATTTTTGTGTTTGTGTGTGTGTGTGTTTGCGGGCATCCTTCGTCAAGTATTTTGACATTTCCTTTGTCAATTTAATTTGTTTTAATATGCCAGCCAGCCTCCCACTGCGTACGTGACGTAGCATCAAAATGTCCCCTGTGTGTGTATGTGTGTGTGTGTGGGGTTGCTTGTTTGCTTGTATGTGGGGGCGTGTGAAAAAGCTTTCGCAAATTCCTTTCTACGTCACTGCTGGTGTCATCTGCACTTTGGCATTTATGTTGCCATATATGGAATTACCTCTATGTGTATCTCTCTCCCTCTCTGTGCGTATTTGCGCAGCATCTCTCGCTCTTTTCAGCGCTTGCTCTCTCTTTTTAGCTAAGCTTACATAATCAGCTGGCAAAGTCTTTTGTCGCATTTTTCGCTAGTTCTTTTCACGCTGCCAAAGGACTTTCCAAGTGTACTTCAATTGAAAGGATAACAATGTTGCCATTGTTAACCAACAACATAAAAGTCGCTTGAAAGCCGTTCCATCTTGACGCTTGAGCGAATGCCTTAAATGGTATTTAACAGGACAGTTGATTCTCACAGCAAATGCCCTTATAGGGTATATTTGTGCAAAACTTATAGATTAGATATAAACCAGCTTCTTATATGTAATTTATAGATTACGTACAGATATTATTTACATATGCATAATATAAGCAATTTCAATTTCTAATTCAATTACGACTAAACAAGTCTTGATTGCTTGATGGGGAATTGAGACTGAAATTGGATACTTTTTAGAGGTTAGGCGACAGGCGCCAAAGTCACCGCAATTCCATGTGGTTTCACGGCTCACTGATTTTTTGATTCAATTGCGTCGTACCCAGGGGAATCTGCTCAAGCTTGTAATTCAAAAGTAACTTGAATTCCAACAGTAGCAAAAGCATACACTTCAGATAACAAGTTGTTGTGTTTGCTGCTGATTGAGTTGCATTTGCTGACGCCAATTTCCATTAACATTTATGGTGCATTTAATGCCCTATGATTTATATGTCATTATGTATAATGCGTCAGAGTGCCTCGCCTGATATTTTATATTGTATAACAATGGAACGCCTGATCGATTTCCTATCTGATAAGCTCAACACGCCTTCAACGGACATCGTTGTGGACATATGACGACATTGCAAGTCCAAGTTTTCATTCATTTGACTTGACTATGTAAAGTGAGATGAAAAAAAACTGCGACATTTGTTTATTGACTGCTAAGTGCAGTTTTCTATTGTCTAATTGACGGTCGCAGCGGGACCGGGGAGCAGCTACACCTTGCCACCGAAACGGAGAAGCTATAAATAGGCACACACGATATCTATATATTACTCTGGACACATGCGATGCGATGTGGGTGCAACTGAAAGCCCTCTATTGACATCTGTACACTGAAATTAATTCGCTTTTAAATTGTTTCATTCATAATTTTAAGTTTACAAAATCAAGACTTTAAGCTTCCATAAAACTTTATCGATTTTCTATACTGAAATAATTTTGTTTTTGGTTATTTCTCTCAATTGTACATTTAAGAAATACGCTTCAATAACTTGTAAGTTGGTGTAAGCTTCATCGATCAAACAATTTTATTCACAGCTCATGCCACAATACATATATAATACTTATATAATAATGTATTGTCTGCTTATTGCTTCTACTCAACAATAATTATAAGTTTGAAATTTATTCTGCTGATTTTTTACGATTTTCTTAACATGAATCTAGAAATTCACTTTAAACTCTTCAAACTATATTAACTTTGCGAAACTCTTTTTTTGGTAAACGTATTACGTTTATTTATACATCTAAGTTCTATTGTTAAAAAAGTACAGAGCGTGCTTCCAGCCTTATCCACACAAACTACTCACAAATATATATACCTATATATATATATGCACAACGAAATATTGGAAAATAAACAAGTTTTTTTGCACATGTGCATCAGAAAGTTCATCAAATCTGGAATGCAAGCTGTATTGGCTAGGTAATACAATACAGTACCAGGCATACCAGACGATAACGATATATTCAGTTACGTTCTAAATAATTGTAACCAATTCAAGGTAATTGTAAAGCGCAATGAAAGCCAAATAGAACTGAAAGGCAGCTTTCTCTATGAAACTGGCAGTTTTGTCGCTTATTAAAAGGGGCACGGGCTGCGCCTTAATATGCCGCTACTGAAAACTAATTGTTACTATTTTTAAATATTGTGGACTTACGCTTAATTGGTCGCTATCTCTGCCCACCTGCACAGTGGGCAAACCGCACTCATATTAATTGGTTTATCTAAATTAAAACTCAAATAAAATTTAGCGACTACTTGAAGTACACAAACTTTGATCACACAAAGGCCAGTGGCTTTAATAAATACGGCGCACTTTAATAGTTAATAGTTCGTATCGTAAATAGTTAAAAGCAGTCAAATCGGTCTTAGGCAAACATTCGATTTATTAATGGCACCATGAAAATGTATTTTCCATTTGCCCAACTCTTGTGCTTGGCGTCTATTTTTAAACTTGGCCAGCACGCAACTTGTAAATGGATACGCAACTTTAATGTATAATCTACGGTTATTTTCGGTTTTTTGTTTTTGTTTTTCGGTTTTGTTTATCGCAAAATGATATTGTGATTGTTTAACATTAATTCGCTGGGAGGTTATTGAAACTTGTTGCATTCAGCGTAATCGCGCCGTTTGTTTACATATTAAATATGTATATTATAGGGCCACACATAAAATGTGTATGTGTCGGTATATATTTACACTATATAGGCATTCTCGCCTGGGACTTTGAACCGGCGCACTGGAAGTGTGCCATCCCCCTCCCTCTCCACTCTCTCCATACACTCTTCTCACGGGATTTTCTCAGTATCTTGTATATCTATTCCCGTCTGTGTGCATTTTTGTTTGTCTGTTTTCGATCTCATTGGTTAGATGTTTGTATAATTTTTGATATTTATTTGAAGATTCATATGTGAATATGGTTATATGCTTTTTTTTTGCTGACAATAACAAATTTTTTCACATAATATCGTGATTGGCAATTAGTAAAATCTTAACTAAATATTATATCTGCTCAAATGAATTTTGTTTTCAACACAGATATACGTATATCATATATACTTGTCACGAATATAAGCTCTTTATTTTGGCTCATTCAACTAATTTGTGACTCTCACACACACAACGGATGCGGTCGCTTATTGGCTATTATAAATCTCTGGCATATAAAAAATCGTCAAAAACTTTTCCACTGTATGGACTTCGATATGGACCCTCGGTACATGGTCCGACCTACATCAAACACGCGTATACTAAAAAAAATCTTATCAAACTGTGCATTTCTCTCCCATTCATAAAAAAAAAACATTTATTTTTAGCTAACAAATACAGACTCCCCACTTGTTTCCCTATCACGCTAGAAAATCGTGAATAATAAATTCTCAATTGATCGATACAGTCAATGACTAGACTGGACTGGACTAAACAATCAATCTTTACTAGCATTTCTCTATCGATTATTGCGCAATTTGATGTGGAAAAGTTCAGTGTGCCGAAAAAGTGCACGAACCTGTGTTCAGATTGGGGACCTTATCTTTCAAATGGGGAAATCAGAGGCAGGGGTCTGACGAAGACTATTCATAATTAAAGAAAGCAAACACGCGAACCCCCATTTAGCTTGGTAGCCCGACTTTCGGATACTTTGTATTTAGTTTGAGGTACATATAAAAAGGTTAAGCTAAAAGTTAACCAAAATATTTGGTTTATATTGTGCGATATAAATTCTATTGCTCAATATAAACCAAATATTTACGTTAGCTTTCGGATTAGTGTATAAAATGGAGATACCCTGCGATCGTCTAGTTGTAGCGTATTTTGGTAAAGAGCCTCACCTCTGACTCCGCCTCAGTTGCAGACACTCGCTAACCACATGTTAGTCACCTGATAACAACAACAACAACAAACACACACACACTAATATTATCGCTTATGAATTGCTTTTTTGCGACTGCTGCCAAAAAACCAGTTTGAGTCTGTAGAGATTATTGCGACTATCTGTATTTTAAGAATGTGTCACCGTCTTGCGTCTCCGCCTCTGCCTCTGCCTTTGCACACAGTGACGTAGCTTGCCAGAGGACAGATAAGTTTGTGCGTATCTCTTGCCGGCCAGCTGCGAGGGACTTTGCCCAATTGAAACAAGTAAGAGCGCGCTAGTCGAGAGATACCCTGAACTTTAGACTTATCCAAAGGTGGAAGACGTGATATATGATTGCATATTAAGATCGACGTTGCTGCCTCTTACCTGTTACAAACATATTTCACAAGATTTATTAGAGCCTTTTTGCCCATCAATTTGGGTTTAGGGTATAAACTGTGCGAATTACTCTTAAATTCATTCATATGTATACATAAATGTATAGATGAGTGTTTTCTTCTGTCTGTCTGGCTGCTTCGTAGAAACGAAAACAGATTCAGTTGATAGTAGACCAACATTAAGCCTCTGGAAGCCATTTCACGCGTGTTGCATCGGATCGCTGAACTTGGACGCTTATCACGTTTGGGGCATAGCATTGATTGATTCACTTGAGCAGCATTAATTAACATAAATGTCTACACACACATACACACAGATAAATAGATAGATTGTTATCTAAACTAGCCCGTAGGCCACCATTTTTTCCCCATTATTGCGATTGTCTTTCTCTCTTTTTCGATGGGGCGCGCGTGGCATGGAAAATTTTGTGTGCTATTTTATCGTTGCGATATTCTCTTGCTGTTCGACTTCGACTTTGTCAGAAACAAATTTGCATTTTCATTTATAAATAGATGATCTTAAATTATCCCCATATATGTGTGTGTGTGTGACAAGAGTATCAAAAAGATAATTGAAGTGCAATATTTAGCTAACATATATTTAGAAGCTAAGGTTGACAAACTCATCAAAATCCAATCAGCAAAATCACAAATTTGTGACAGTCAAGAAATATATATATTTAAATATAATTTATGCGTCATTTGCGTGTATTTAATCTTGAAATATAATTTCTTTTGCTTCAAAAAGCCCTTAAGCTTATAAAAACAACAAATTATTTATTATAAGTCTTAAATACAGCAAAATACAACTACCGTGGCCTTCAGATACAAAATAAAATTTTATATGTTTGTTCGCTTGTTTTCTTTATGTGTCTCGTGATTTTATTTTCTTTTCTAATTTATTTAAACTTTTTTTCTCAACCTTTTATTAATCATTTACGTTGTTGTTTATTGCGGTTCGTTTAATCCAACGTATTTGGAATTTTTTGTTGTTGTTTTTTGTGCCTTTTACCATTTCTCGTTTTGAGCTGTACTTATTTCAATATCTGAAGCGTAAATGAACCCGTTCTTCATTTAAATCCAGCCGAACAATAAATAAATATGTTTGTATAATAAAAAAGATAAATTATTTATAAATTACAAGTTTTTACCATTTCGAGAACGGTGAACAAACTCGGGTTCCTAGTTTAATCAAAAAATTAAATAATGCGCCCCTTATGTGAATAGATCTTGATTATATTTATTAGTGTGGGTTGTTCACAACTATCTCGTATTTATCAAATAATTGAGTGAATATGGGCAACAATTGATTCAAGTGCACATTTATTTTACGCAGCAGCACCGACGATAAACCATTTTTCGATAGACAGCAAATCAAAAGCAAATGCAAATGCAATAAGAATCGAATCGAATCAGCATGCAAAAACTATTGCAAAGGGTGTGTGAAAGGGAGAGTGTGTTTAATGCGAGAGCGACTGCAAATGCAATGAGAATCGAGTCGAAAGGCCGCTCTCTGGATCCATTTCAAAGGGTGAGAGAGAGTGAGAGAGACAGATCGATATGAATTAGATCGAAATGCATGCAAAACTGTTGCATAGGGTGAGAGAGGAGCAAAGAGAAACGATTGCTTTGAGTGCCTTCAGTCCGATAGATCATTGCTGGTTCTGTTCTCCTCCTGGCGCCTCTGCTGCTGCTACTGCTGCTGCTTTTGCCTCTGCTCTCAGCTGGCGAGTGCTGTGTTGGGTTAGAAACTGTTGAGCGCTCCACAGTTGGAGCTCATTCGCTTGTGAGCAGCCGTCAGTGTCGCGTGTGCCCCAGCAAGCGTTCGTGAGCAATAAATAAATAAGTTGAGGCAAGCGCAAAAACCGTAACTGCATAATTTACATGTTTCTCTGTGTGTGTGTGCTGTGTGTAATTGTAATACGCAAAAATAGTGCAAACTAAAAATTTGTAGTGCAAAACATTTTTTTAAATAAACATATTTTCAAATGGCTAATTTCAATTTCTTTTCTTTTTACAGCAAATACAATTGTGGTTTCTGTGCTAATAAAACTGTTAACAATATTAAGCAGAAACAGTTGAAGTGAAAAAAAAACAACAAACCAATAAAAGCAAATAAAGACCAAGCAAAACAAGTAAATATTTAAAGAAGAGCATAGCAAAGCGAAAAGTATTTAAGCAAGTGCAACGGTAACAGCGTATAATGGCACCAATAACCACTGACAATTGCGAATTTGAATGTGCAACAAGTGTTGATAGCAGCATCAATAACAATACTAACTTTGAAAACGCTATCGATAACGATAACGATAGTGAGAACGTGAACGCGTCGCGTACGAACGAACAGTCGAATGAATTGGATTTGAATCAAGTGCAAGTGGAAGGTGAACATGTCGAGCATGAGGAGGAGGAGCAGCAGCAGCAGATGCCCTGGGAGGCACCTGGCAAACAGGGTCTCTACGATCCGCAGAACGAGCACGAGGCATGCGGCGTTGGCTTCATTGTGGCCATCGATGGCAAACGCTCTCACAAGGTATGTGAAACCCTTAAACTGTTTCGATAATAGATACAGAGAAAATTCGTTTAATTTGTGCAGATTCTACGTGATGCCCAGACCCTGTCAGAACGGATGAATCATCGGGGCGCCTGCGCCTGCGACAATGATACCGGCGATGGCGCTGGTGTATTGGCTTCCATTCCGCACCGACTCTATGCCAAGGCTCTGTAAGTTTACTTATTTTTATTTATATGTGTACATCTATTGGGGGGTTCATTTGCACTTGGCAGCACTGCAGCATGCCATTGATTAGTGTTATTTGTCTTGTCTGAGATCGCGCCGATCTCGTGCGCGAAATGCACAAATAGTTGAATGCTTTCGTACCAGTCGTAAATGCCCTGCCCTGTCAGTTGGCCAGTGGGTATTACGACTATTACAGCCATGTAGCAAACACCTGAGCTATCTAAACGTCAGTCTGTGTTTTTGTGTGATCAGCTTATCTAATCTACAATTCAACTATCAAGAGACATGACAATAGAAGGCATTATCACATTATCTATAAATATTATAAAAATAAAATAACAGAAATAATGTGGAAATGTCATAGAAATGACTACAGGAAATTTTCATCAATTTGCACATTAAATTTATATTAATAATTTGAATTGGGAAAGTTTTCTTCATTTTTTTTTTCTCACATTTTAAGGGCATTTAGAATACGGCATTCCAACGAACATAAACTGTTCATGTTATTTTATTATTTGCATATGTATTTGTATTTGCCAACGTTGTTTGCTTCATTGGCTCCGCTCCGACATGAAAATAATAAAAAAAAAAAAAAAACTAACACATCAGGCGAGCGCACGTCAAAAATAGTTTTCTAACATGAGGCACATACATAACCCATTGAATAAGTATGTATGCATATGTGTATATACTCTCAAGTGCACCTAGAAAGTCTAGAATTCCTCTCCAAAAATCTAGAATTCCTCTCTGCGCTCACTTGATGTTTTTTCGAATGGAATTTTGTTTTTTATTGACACGTTACGGATTTGATATTTGTCAAGCTTTGTACGCATTATCCAAAATCTGATTGATGAGGGGTTGTAGCTGGCGGGAGAGTGGGTTAATGTACATAATTTGTAGAGAATTAGTTTCGCTCAAATTATGCCATTAAATTCTTTAGCAGAAGCTTTCAAAATGAAAGAATACATTCATAAATGTGACACATGAATAATAAAAGGTTTTGTTTTATTTATTTTTTTACACCCGCTTTAAATGCGATTTTTACACAGTGAGTGTAGTTATACAGTTATGTACTTACAGTGGGCTTTAAAAGTCAGGCCAATCCAAAACAGTAATCTCAGAAACAAAAGCGATACAGATTACCTAGTTCGTTTATGGCATAGACATAATTATTTACAGAGTATTGTTGACTTCGCTATAAAATTCTCCTATGATGACTTGAAACTTTTGTATTATTAGTATATTAAAACAGCACCGTCTTGGGTTCGTTAACCTTTGTAAAAGTGTAATTTTAATAATTGAACTAATTATACTCTCTGTTGAATATACTATGAGTAAGAATGATTTAACAAATATGCAGTGAGCTATTTATAGCTGCTGAAAATAGTGTAGTTAATATCTATATCTATACCGAAAACGTCATGTCATCAAAAGCTGTAAATCTTGTTTAATTATCGCCTAACCGACGACAACAGGGCTAATTGATATATCCCAAAACAAATTTTTGGACTTGTGTCGTCAAAACTTAATGAAAAAACTATATAGTAGACGGTAAACAGTTGTGGAATGCTGTCAAAAAAAAATCAAAACGAATTGAAATTCACGCTTGACACGCACGTGCCGAGTGATTTCGACGGGGTCTCTGACTGGTAGGAGAGCAGCTGTTGTTATGTGGAGCAACAGGTTGGTTTTGCAATGTCAAGTTCAAGGAAAACGCCTTAGGGGTCAGACATTAGTATGTATTAAGTGAGTATATATTCCGCCAACTCACCATTGGGGGGCGACGTATAAACTACGACGTAATAGGAAAACAACTACAGCCCAGCCAGTCAACCAGACACAGTTCTCAAGTGTATAGTATAACTCACATTTTGAATGACAAACGGCAACAAAGACAACTGATACTGATAAGCTATTGTCTCCTCACATTCGTCACTTTTGACGCAAAGGAATCCGCATCGCAGTCACGATGATGAATGGCGATAAATTTCATTTAATTGACAAATGAAAACCCCGCGCATTTTTAACAGCCTTGCGTTGATTTTAATGTGCAATAAAGATTTGGGCTGTTCGTTTCTAGTTTACTACACTCAATACCCAAGAATATGAATGGGAAGCTTAAATTGGACTCTATAAAAGTGCAGGTAATGGTCGAAAACTTTCCACAACCATAACTTTGTCAAATCTTATACGATAAAACAAAAAACCAAGGCTTTTTAAACATGGTTTGATACCTGGAATAATACTAAAATTGTTGTTAATGGTTTGACCTCCAGATTAATATTCCGTTTAAAGTTGAAAACGTGTGAATTAAAATACGAATTTAAATCCATTTCGCGCTCAGCATGATCAAATATTGTAATATAATTTTAAATTTCGAATTTAACTCTCTAAAAAATCAACGAATCAAACCGAAATTTAAAACAGCTTGAAGCCATTAAGTTCAATTAAATAAAATAGAATTTGAAATTTAATAGATTTTAATGATAATAATAATAAAAATAAATTGAACTTAACGAGCATAGAATATAGAATATATATACATATGTATCAATTTTAGCATGATTTCGCATATTTCATTTAATTGTATTTCGAACTGTTCTTTCACATTTTTTATAGTGCTGCGCAGGGCGTAAACTTGCCGGAGCTGGGCAACTATGCCACGGGCATCTTCTATTTGGATGAGGCGCAGCATGTCGCCGCCGAGTCGGAGTTTAATGAGCTTGCCAAGAGTCTGGGTTTGTCGGTGCTCGCCTGGCGCACAGTTCCGGCCAATCAGCAGGCCATCGGCATCGTTGCCCGCAAATCGGAGCCGTTGTCACGTCAGGTTTTCGTCGCTCGGCCCGCTGGCAGCGATGAGAAGTCGTTTGAGCGTCAGGTGTTCGTGCTGAGGAAGCGGGCGACTCATGAGCTGGGCAAGCCGGGCAGACGCTTCTATATTTGTTCGCTATCGGATCGGACTGTCGTCTACAAGGGTCTGTTCACCTCGGATCAGTTGTGGGATTACTATACGGATCTCAAGGATCCCGATTTCGAGACGTATATGGCGCTGGTGCACACGCGCTTCTCCACCAACACCTTCCCTAGCTGGGAGCGTGCCCATCCGTTGCGTGTTCTTGCCCACAACGGGGAGATCAATACGCTGCGTGGCAATGTCAATTTGATGAAGGCCCGTGAGGGTGTTATGCAGTCCGACCTTTTTGGCGAGCAGCTCAAGAAGCTGTATCCCGTCGTCGAGCCAAATCTCTCCGATTCGGGCTCCTTCGATTGTGTGCTCGAGTTCATTACAATGGCAAGCGAGCGTTCGCTGCCGGAATCTGTGATGACCATGGTGCCGGAGGCATGGCAAAATGATCGCACCATGCCGCAGGAGAAGCGTGACTTCTATCAGTGGGCCGCCTGTGTAATGGAGCCCTGGGATGGTCCGGCACTCATTAGTTTCACGGATGGCCGCTTTATTGGCGCTGTACTGGATAGGAATGGATTGCGTCCGTCACGTTTCTATGTGACCAAGGATAATGTGCTGGTCATGGCCTCCGAGGTTGGTGTCTACGATGTGGATCCATCTCAAGTGGCGCTCAAGAGTCGCTTGAAGCCCGGTCGCATGCTGCTCGTGGACACCAAGGAGCAGAAGCTCATCCAGGACATTGAGCTGAAGGCACGCATTGCCAAGTCGCGACCACATTCGGACTGGCTGCAGCAGAAGGTGAGTGGGTTTTCAGGGATTCTTTAGGTATCTATACATACATATATATATATATATATATATATATATATATATATATATAATCCACATGAGACACTTTTGAGCACAACAGCAACAGCAAAAACAACTGAATACATATTTATATTTGTATCGCTATGTAATTGTTATTGCTCTCAATTTGTCCATTTCTCTCTGCCATGCTTACAATAATGTGATAATCGTTCACCTGTGGACCAATCCAGATGGTGAGTTGACGGCTCTCTTCCTGCTTCTCTCCTCTCGCTTTCTCTCTCTCTCACTGAGTCGTTATAGTCGTGTTAGCTTTACGTTTGAATTGCATCGCATGTGTCCTAGTTGCAAAACTGCCTCAGAACTGTTGCTTTAATTCCTTTCACCACCATTTTCCCTCGCCCAGATCACGCTTGATGAGATTCGCAATGCAAATGTGCTCAACACGCCCATTGAGGAGCCAGCCAAGCCGCCAGCCTCGCAGCGCGGCATCTTTGATCCACGACTCTCGCTGTTTGGCTACACCACGGAGACGGTCAACATGCTGCTGATTCCCATGTTCAAGAACAAGTAAGTAAAAGAGAGAACTAAACGACGAGACGTTATCTTAACCATCTCCTTCTTCTCTGCCCTTGTAGAAAAGAGGCACTTGGATCCATGGGCAATGATGCACCGTTGGCTTGTTTGTCCGGCTTTCAGCCCATTCCGTATGAGTACTTTAAGCAGCTGTTCGCCCAGGTGACCAATCCACCGATTGATCCATTCCGCGAGAAGGTCGTCATGTCCATGCAGTGTCCCGTTGGGCCGGAGGCAAATCTGTTGCAGCCATCGGCACAGCAAGTGCATCGCATTTGGCTGCCCAATCCCATACTGAGCATTCCAGATACCCAGCTCCTGAAGCGAAATACGCATCGTGGCTGGAAGACCAAGGTCCTGGACATTACATTCCCATACAGTGATGGCTATCAGGGCTATCTCGATTGCATCGATCGCATCTGCCGCGAGGGCGTCAATGCCGCCCAGGCTGGCTATCAACTGCTCGTCATCTCGGATCGTGAAGCTGGCGTCAATGAGCATGTGGCGGTTTCCGCTCTACTCGCACTGGGTGCACTGCATCATCGTCTGATTGAGACGCTGCAACGCATGAAGGTCGGCATCATTGTGGAGACGGCCGAGGCACGCGAAGTCCATCATGTTTGCGTCCTCCTGGGCTATGGCGCCGATGTCATTTGCCCCTATTTGGCCTTCGAGTTGGCTGAGGCTCTGCGAGATGATGGCGTCATTGCACCGGACACAACAAATAAGCAGATCTATGCCGCCTACGCTCAGGCCATAGATACGGGCATTGCCAAGGTGATGGCCAAGATGGGCATCAGTACGCTGCAGTCGTACAAGAGCGCCCAGATCTTCGAGGCAGTTGGCTTGGGTAAGGAGCTAATTGACAAGTGCTTCCGTGGCACACAGAGTCGCATTGGTGGCGTCACTCTGGAGATACTCGCCAAGGAGGGCCTCGAACGTTTCCAGCTCACCTACGGCAAGGTGTCGCCGGATACGCGCATTCTGCGTAATCCCGGACAGTATCACTGGCGCCATGGCGGCGAGGCGCACATCAATGAGCCCAGCTCCATTGGCAGTCTGCAGGAGGCGGCCGTCAACAACAACCAGAACGCCTTTGAGGCTTTCAAGAAGACCACCCTGGAGAGCGTCAAACAATGCGCCCTTCGTGGTCAACTGGAGTTTGTTGATGATCGCAAGAAGATCAACATTGACGAAGTGGAGCCAGCTAGTGAAATTGTTAAGCGGTATGTGGAAAGTTTCTAAGGTTTCCAACTGATATTTGACTGATTACTATTCATTCCATATTCAGATTCGCCACTGGTGCCATGAGCTTTGGCAGTATCTCGCTGGAGGCGCATCAGACGCTCTCCATAACCATGAATCGCATTGGCGGCAAGAGCAACACCGGCGAAGGCGGCGAGGACTCTGATCGCTATCTGAGTAAGTCCAGGAGTGAGGATTTGTGTTAGGGATATATATGATACAAGTTCAACACCCTTTGCAGATCAAGATCCGAATCACAGCCGTCGTTCGGCCATCAAGCAGGTGGCTTCGGGTCGCTTTGGTGTGACCGCCTCGTATCTGGCCAATGCGGATGATTTGCAGATCAAAATGGCTCAGGGTGCCAAGCCCGGCGAGGGTGGCGAGCTGCCCGGCTACAAAGTGACGAAGGATATTGCCAAGACCCGGAAATCGGTTCCGGGTGTGGGTTTAATATCGCCACCACCACATCACGATATCTACTCTATTGAGGATCTGGCCGAGTTGATTTACGATCTCAAGTGCTCCAATCCCAATGCACGCATCAGTGTCAAACTGGTCTCCGAGGTGGGAGTGGGCGTTGTAGCCTCCGGCGTTGCCAAGGTGGGTTTTTCAGCTAAAAATGTGATGTTCCTTTACTGAAATACTCCTTCTCCTCTCCCTTACAGGGCAAAGCCGAGCATATTGTCATCTCTGGACATGATGGCGGCACCGGCGCCAGCTCCTGGACGGGCATTAAGAACGCTGGTTTGCCATGGGAACTGGGCATTGCTGAAACGCATCAAGTACTTGTTTTGAATAATCTACGATCAAGGTAAGTTTCCGACCAGCACACCCCAAAACATGACCCAACAAAAAAAACACACTCCAATCCCCCACTTGTTACTAATCATGAAAGAAACATATTACTGAAGAGCGCCTGGTTATCCCAGATGACAGCGTTGGACGAGATTATTGAGATTAACTCGTTGATTATCTGATTGAGTTGCGGACCACCGATCAACAGATCAGTATTGCAATGGATAAAGGAAACTGATCGATATTCCTACACATAAAACTCGATGGTGTCAATATTGCTGCTGTGTATCGAGATTGCTGAATTGATATATATATATATATATATAGCCTGATTGCTTACGCAAATTATTGCAAACCAATTGATAATGATTCCGAACCGAACCAAACCGAATTGAACCGCATTGAACCGATCGGTGTCCATCCTTGCTCACTTGCTCGCTCGCTCGCACGATCGTCGCGCCGCGCTGTGCTCCATTCGTAATTTCTTCTCATTACTTTGATCCGCTTGTTGAATCCTTGGTTAACATTGCATTCCTTTTTATGTCATATCTTCCTACTCCTCCACCTCAACCTGGGATCGTTGGCATCAATCAGAGTGGTCGTTCAGGCGGATGGACAACTACGCACGGGTTTCGATGTCGTCGTCGCTGCTCTCCTTGGCGCAGATGAGTTTGGTTTCAGCACAGCCCCGCTGATTGTCATGGGTAAGCATGGAACACTTGAACTTTAGGCTTTGTGCTCAAGCTGATTAATCTCTTCTTCTGCAGGCTGCACCATGATGCGCAAGTGTCATTTGAACACCTGTCCCGTAGGCATTGCCACACAGGATCCGGTGCTGCGCAAGAAGTTTACTGGCAAGCCGGAGCATGTGATTAACTTCTTCTTCATGCTCGCTGAGGATGTAGGTTATCTGTGTTTTTTTTATTACATTTGTCGTTTGGAATTTAGAATTGCCGGAAAATTAGTACTTTTCCCGATGTCTTGCCAGAAAGAGAACCAATTAGATTGTTTTTTTGTACATATCTTTTGACTGAAGATGAAGTATACATTGTAAATATGGGAATTTCAAAACTGTTTGCTGAAATTTTACTTTATAAAATATGAAATTACAAAAAAGGGTTTTCAAAATTCCCATTTTATTAATACTTATATAGTAAAATTATATAGTTATTAGAATTATGCTGAAAATTGAATTCACTTTAGAATCGAAGCTTTCTGATTTCCATGCGATTATTCATATTCACATTAAGCTCCTACTAATTTTACACATCTCTCTTCGTCTCTCTTTCTCTCTTATAGATTCGTCAAATCATGGCCAATTTGGGCATACGCAAGTTTCAGGATCTAATTGGACGCACCGATTTGTTGCGTGTTGCCAGTCAACGCGGAACCAAGGCTAGCCATCTGGACCTCAGCTTGCTGTTGAAGCCGGCACTGGAGCTGCGTCCGGGCACCAATATTGTGGGTGGCTCTGTTAAGCAGGATTTCCAGCTGGAGAATCGTGCCGATAATCAGCTGATTGCCCGCGCCCAGCAGATCTTTAATGGTGCCGAAGATAATATCACCGTTAAGATGGGCATACACAATGAGGAGCGCGCATTTGGCTCCACGCTGAGCTATCACATTGCCTGCAAGTATGGCGAGGCTGGTCTGCCCAGTGGCAAGACCATCGATATCTTCCTGGAGGGATCGGCTGGCCAGAGTTTCTGCGCCTTCTTGGCACGTGGCGTCAACGTCACCCTCAAGGGCGATGCCAACGATTATGTGGGCAAGGGCTTGTGTGGTGGCAACATCATCATCAGTCCACCAGACACCGCACCCTTCGAGTCGCATCTCAATGTGATCGTAGGCAATGTGTGTCTCTATGGCGCCACCGAGGGCAACGCCTATTTCCGGGGCATTGCCGCCGAGCGCTTCTGTGTGCGCAATTCCGGCGTGACGGCCGTCGTCGAGGGTGTTGGTGACCACGGTTGCGAGTATATGACGGGTGGATTGGTTGTCATCCTTGGCTTGACGGGACGCAACTTTGCCGCCGGCATGTCTGGTGGCATTGCCTATGTTTATGACATTGATGGATCCTTCAAGCCCAAGGTTAACCCGGAGTCCGTGGAGCTGTTGCCACTACAACTGGCCGAGGATGTAGCTCTGGTGAAGCAGCTACTCACTGACTTTATTACCAAAACGAACTCGAAGGTGGCCCAAGAGCTGCTGCAGAATTGGGAGCACGAGCAGTCCAAGTTTGTCAAGGTATTCCCCTATGAGTATCAGAAGGCCCTCAAGGATATGGCCGAACAAGCAGCCGTGGAGCAACCGGTCAAGGTGTCGGCCATTGAGAATGGCAATGGCAAGCATGAGCCGCACATAAAGGACATCGAGGAGGCCATCCAGGATGTGGCCCTGGAGCAGAAGCGTGCCGATCGTGTCCTGGACAAGCTACATGGCTTCGTCAAATACAAGCGAGAGGCGGCCCCGTATCGCGACGCAGGCGTTCGTCAGCAGGACTGGAACGAGGTCTACAACTTGCCGCATGTGCGCAAGAACCTCAAGATGCAGGCAGCCCGTTGCATGGAGTGCGGTGTCCCATTCTGTCAATCCAATTCGACGGGTTGTCCTTTGGGCAACATCATACCCAAGTGGAATGATCTCGTTTTCCATGGCGAATGGCAAGAGGCCCTGCGTCAACTATTGCAAACCAATAATTTCCCCGAGTTTACCGGTCGCGTCTGTCCGGCACCGTGCGAGGGCTCTTGTGTCCTCGGCATCTCGGAGCCGGCTGTGACCATCAAGAATATCGAATGTGCCATCATTGATCATGCCTTCGAGCAGGGCTGGATTAAGCCTGAGATCCCTGAAACGCGTACCGGCAAGCGGGTGGCCATTGTGGGTTCCGGTCCATCCGGCCTGGCTGCTGCCCAACAGCTGAACCGTGCTGGACACTTTGTGACGGTCTTTGAGCGCAATGATCGCGTCGGCGGACTGCTGCAGTACGGCATTCCAACAATGAAGCTATCCAAGGAGGTGGTCAAGCGACGTGTCGATCTCATGGCCGATGAGGGCGTCGAATTCCGCACCAATGTCCACATTGGCAAGGACACCAGCGCCGAGAAGTTGGTTCACGGGTGAGTTTTGAGGGAGATATAAAATATTAATTTTTGCTCAATCTAAACCCAATCCCTTATAGCTATGATGCCGTGCTTTTAACCACTGGCTCCACCTGGCCAAGGGATCTGCCGCTGGCCAATCGAGATCTGCAGGGTATTCACTTTGCCATGGAGTTCCTTGAGGCGCAGCAGAAGAAGCAGCTGGGCGGCAAGAAGGAGATCATTTCGGCCGAGGGCAAGAATGTCATCATCATTGGTGGCGGCGACACTGGTTGCGATTGCATTGCGACCTCGTTGCGTCAGGGTGCCAAGAGCATTACCTCGTTTGAGATATTGCCAGAGCCGCCGGCAAAGCGTGCCGAGGATAATCCCTGGCCACAGTGGCCGAAGGTATTCCGTGTGGACTACGGGCACGAGGAGGTGCGTCTCAAGTGGGGCAAGGATCCGCGTCAGTACTGCACCACGACCAAAGAGTTTGTGGGCGAGAATGGTCACATTAAGGGCGTGAACACCGTTGAAGTCGAGTGGACCAAGTCGGAGACGGGCCAGTGGCGCATGCAGGAAGTGGCCGGATCGGAGAAATACTTTGCCGCTGATCTGATACTGTTGGCCATGGGCTTCCTCGGGCCCGAGAAGTCGGTGTCCAGTGAGCTGGCCCTGGAACTGGATCCGCGCGGCAACATTAAGGCCACCAATGGACAGTATGGCACCTCCAATCCCAAGGTCTTTGCAGCGGGCGGTAAGTCGATCAGCTTAGTTGAGTTGACTGGAACAGCATCTCTTAAGATTGCTCTTTATTGCAGATTGCCGCCGTGGTCAATCATTGGTGGTGTGGGCCATTACGGAGGGTCGTCAGGCAGCGCGCCAAGTGGACTCCTATCTCACGGGCAAACCCAGTGGTTTACCTGGTCCCGGCGGCGTCATTGATCCCACTGTACCCAGGTTCTAAGTACCTGATCAAGATGATAATGTGGATGTTGATGTCAATGTGGATGAGGATGTTGATGTGGATGCGGGGAGTTTGTCTGTGTGCGTGCATCGTCTTTAGCATAGAAAAATTCGTTGATTTTCGCCTCGAAAAACAATTTGCAATTTGTGATTTTTATTTTCGCGATTTTAGTTTAGTTTACACACTACACAAAACAAAAACAAAAAAAAGACTTGAGTTTTTTTTACACTATTAAACACGATTTTCGCTTTTGGTTTTATTTGATGATGCGACGATGCCACGCCCACAAGGCGTTGCTGGCCAGGCTAGCTGTCGCGATGCCCTCCAAAAACGATGATCAAAATGTTGCAATGAGAGATTGAGTCAATTAAGAGTGCAAAACGAATGTTTGGCAAATAAAATAATTAAACCCAACAAATTGGGAGGGTCTTAAACCAATATCCAAATTTCAAGGACAATAACTAGAAATTAACCGTTTATGCGTTACGTAAAAAAAAGCTATAACATTACATAATCGATATATGCATTATTCTGTTCAAACATTGACATTGTACTTATTTGAATTATGTTTCTATAGCTGTTTTTGGAAAAATGACAAATTGGTATGCTGAATTCCCAAATATTAATACTATTAATTACCGCACTGAACCACAAAAAATATATAACCAACCCAGCCTACACACGCGAGTATATCAAATTGCATTTGTAGTAGATGTTGTTTGTTTTTTGAGCTACAACTGATCGTTAAGTGCAAAGTCTACCTACATACTATTTACAATATGTATTATAATATTACTATTGGTATTTTTAAAGCCACATGTTACATAAATTTCCCTTTGGTATATATATATATATATATATATGTACGTTTAACCAGCTTAATCTGAATTACAATATATACCTTCGATATATATTTACATATATATATATACAAACTTATATGTGAAATCAAATGGTGAAGTATTCAATATAATAAACTGTTGCTAGCAAAAATTCAAAGTGCCTTCTATTTTTGCGCAAATGTGTTTGCTGACAAAAAGTTCAGTGCTACAGCACTAGTCGATATATACAAGAGCATCAGAGCAACTGGCGTGCTATCGATTGTTGTAAACGATATGTGTCGCTTGTCAGTGTGTACATGTAAAACACATCAAAAAATAGCACTTCTTTTCGCCATAAGGCAGCACTGTGCGTCTTTCGCACGCGTATTTTTGTGCAGGTTTCGTGTGGAAATTCATAGTTATTTGTTGTGAAAATAGTTAAAAATCAACCGCAATCATGGCACAATTCGATCTTACACGTATCAATTGTCAATACTTGGACAGACATTTGACTTTTCCACTTCTGGAGTTTTTGTGCGGCAAGGAGGTTAGAAAAAAATTGTAGCTTTGTGTCGCCGTCATCATTAAAATTGTTAATCGGTCTTTGTTTTGTGCATGTATTCTGGCAGATCTACAATCAGCAGGATCTACTGGAATACATTCTGGACACGGTGAACAAGACAAACATGATCGATTACACCATGGATACGCGCAAGCGTCTCAATCTTAGCCAGGATATGCCGGATGAGTTGGTCCAACGCAAATCCGATGTCCTGGCCACATTGAAGCAGCTGCAGAATGAAGTGGCGCCCATCATGAAGGCCACCGACATCCTGAAGAACGGCGAGAGCATGAAGGATTCGAAGACCTTTGTGAATGCCCTTCAAAAGGACTACAACTTCAAGGTGGAGCACCTGGAGAGCGCCTACAAACTGGCCAAATATTTGTACGAGTGCGGCAACTATCAGGAGTCCACTTCGTATTTGTATTTCTGCCTCATTGTCATGTCGCCCAACGATAAGGTGAGTTCCAAGGTGTTAATATTAGCCGGGGATTGGTTTCATATCCGCCTCCCTTGCAGAATTATCTGAATGTGCTGTGGGGAAAGTTGGCTGCTGAGATTCTGACCCTCAATTGGAACACCGCGCTGGAGGATTTGACCCGTCTGCGTGACTACATTGATAGCGCCAATTTTTCGACCATTCAGGCGCTGCAGCAGCGCACCTGGTTAATTCACTGGTCCGTTTTGGTCTTCTTCAATCATCCGAAGGGACGCGATCTCATCATTGAGATGTTCTTATACAAGCCACTCTATCTGAACGCCATACAGACGATGTGTCCGCATATTATGCGTTATCTGGCCACCGCTGTTGTCATCAATCGGACGCGTCGCAATGCTCTCAAGGATTTGATAAAGGTCATACAGCAGGAGTCGTACACGTACCGGGATCCCATCACCGAGTTCCTTGAGTGTCTCTATGTGAACTTTGATTTCGAGGGCGCTCGCTTGAAGTTGCATGAGTGCCAAACGGTTATTTTGAACGATTTCTTCATTGTCGCCTGTCTCAATGAGTTTGTGGAGGATGCACGTCTGATGATCTTCGAGACATTCTGTCGCATCCATCAGTGCATCACAATTAGCATGTTGGCCGACAAGTTGAACATGAAACCAAACGAGGCCGAATGCTGGATCGTCAATTTAATTCGTAATGCACGTCTCAATGCCAAGATCGATTCGAAGCTGGGCCATGTGGTGATGGGCACACAGCCGCTGAGCCCCTATCAGCAGCTGGTGGAGAAGATTGACTCGCTGTCGATGCGCTCGGAGCATTTGGCCGGTCTAATTGAGCGTAAGAGCAAACAAAAGAATCAAGAATCGGCCGACTCCTGGAAGTACTATTAAGCATTAGATAAACCATTATTTTCTGTATTCAAACCGTGGTAGGCAATGCCTGTCCGCAATCGTCACATGGCGCGAATAAAACAACATCTCTTTTCGCAGCCTGAATACCATTTCCATACGCTTCTCTTATGTGATATGTCATGTGAGCATTACTCAGCACTTTCTATACTCAACATATTGATTTTATTTCCACACGGAATATAATAAGTTACAAAACAATTGGGATAGCGGATTTGGACTGCGACTATTTGACATTTGACATTCCAATTTTTCTAACCTATACATGCATAAGTTTCCTAATCTATTTCCTAGCTGTAGTAGTAGTTGTAGATCTCTAGATTGTACCAATGACTTGTGCGCCTAGCGCCGGAACGGAGAAGGTCATACGATTAATTGCTACCGCAATTTATCCTTTGCCGCCGATGGCTTAACAACCATCCATGCACGCGTTGGCAAATTCTGCAAATGGACGATCCATTTGCGGACGACCAGCAGCCAAATGATGCCATAGACGACGCACACCATCGCCTCCATGTAGTAGCCATCAAAGGTGATCTCACACTTGCCAGCAGCAGACAAACATTCCTGCAGAAGATTACCAAAATTAATCACACTACTCAAGTGGACCTGATGGGAGACGGAAGACTTGCCTGTTGTCCTTCCTTGTTGACGCAGAGATTGTCCGGCTGCGTGGTGCACTGCTTCAGCGTTAGCACATCTACCAGCCAGAGCACCACCGTGTTGGGCCAATTGCCACCGAGATTGCACAGTGTGTTGAGGAATGTCATGTAAGTGCCACCGACAGCGGGATCCGAGATCTTGGCAAAGAATGCCATGGCGGCCACAAACATAGAGTAGAGGAATACCTGATAGCAGCCATAGCTGATGATGAGCATCACATAGTAATACAAAGGCACCTCGCCACCAGAGATAATATATGGCGTCGCATAGGCGATCATTGTGCCGAGGGAAGCCAGAGCAATGCGATAGGGTATCGCTTTCAAATAGACATCCATGGGACGCGGTCCATTTGTGTATTTGCCCACAAGAATGGGCAATATGAGTTGCAGTGGAATGATGGGAATTGCTAGCAGGGCCAGTTTCTCCTTGGGTACGCCAGCATCGATAAGCTTCAACGAAGTGACCGCATCGGAGGCGGCAAATGTTACTTTGACTGTAAGCAGAATGCCGGCAAGGATCTGCACGGGTCGCTTGCGCACCATGTCCCACAGCACCTTGTAGCTCTCGTGGATGTTCAACTCGTGCTCCACCTGGTAACGGGCCTCCGTGTGCGCATCCTCAATGTCATTCTCACGCTTGAAGACTGCTACCAATGTTGTGGCCACAATGAACACGATGCCCCAGAACCAGAGGAAACGTGGTAACGTTATCATGCCCACATCCTCGGGCACACTACGCAAATAGGAGTTGCAAAAGTCCTTCGACTCGAGCGCAATGAACACCACATAGCCAAAAAAGTAGCCAGCCGTTTGGCCCACACTGTTGCATGTGGAAGCGTAGCCGACGTTGCAACGCTTCAGCATCGTCAGTGCCCAGCCATCGACAGCGATGTCTTGCGTGGCGGCCAGAAAGTTCAGCAGAAAGAAGATCAGCGTAAGCAACGGCACATTCGGATCCAAACCATCGCCGCCCAGCCAGCGATCCACATGAGCCGATAGCAGCAGCATAAAGGCGCCCAACAGATACTGCACCGGCACCAGCCACGACTTGCGTCGTCCAAAGCGTCTTACATACAACGAGTCCACAATTGGCGCCCACAGCAACTTGATGCTAAAAGGCCAATAGGCAAACGAGAATTCCGCTTGCTGTTTGTAGCTGGCCCCACGATTCTGCAGCAGCATGGGAACAGCTGCGATCAGACCAATGGGTATGCCCTGCAGTATGTAGAGGAACAGAAGGATGGCAATGTTGCGTCTATCGCCACGTATATCGGGCTTCTCCTCCTTATGCCCTGACTCAGATGTCGTCTCGACGAGCTCATAGCCATCTTTCGTTTGACCTCGACGACGTGCAGACATCTTGATGCCTGCCAACGTGAAATGAGCAATGTGTGTCTGTTCATTTTTAGACGATTGATTTGCGCTTACCCACAGCTGCTCTAATCAGTATCAGTACTTAAATAACAATAATAACAACAACGACCAGTAGGTCCACGTCAGTTAAAGTCGGCAAGAGTTCGACAATCCGTTCTATTTTTTGTTGTATTTATGTATTTGTAATTAATGCGCCATTATTGTCCATCGATGTTTAAGAAATTAATAGATGTGGTTGGATTTACAGCGTGACGATGTGGCGACGATTTGTTGACGTTTGCGTGTCGCTGTTCCAAATATTTTTCATATTTAGTACGACGATTCTCCGATTCTCTTGACCATCATCAGCATATCGAAAGCTGCTGCCCAGTATCGATAGGTATATCGATAGCATATTCAAAATGCACGACATAACGGTTGTTCGGATAATCAAATTCGAATGCTGCGACGCACAACGGATACCTACAAATATCCATTTCCGCACTGAGCCTATTTAATTTACGCATTTGTTCCCCCATGAAAACACACCATGCTGTTATTTGAAGTGGTTCGGGCTGTTGCTTTGCTCATACATTTCTGTTTGCGAATACATATTGGTATAATTAAATTACAATCAAAACTTAAGTATTCATGTGCTGTTACAGGCTCCAATTCGAAATCACGATTAACAGATTCCATTTCAATACAAATTCATAATATTTTTAAAACAGGTTTCAATCTTTTCTTCTTTTTTTAAAAAAAAAAAGTCTAACACATTTGAGACTGAGTAACTTTTTGCTTAGCTTATCTAATAAAGATTTTTAATTGAGACTGGCTGGCTTGGCTGTGTGTATGTGTGTAGGGTTGTTTTGTGTGTGTTATATGTTTGTGTTATGTGTGGCGTGTACGATTGATAAAGTCGCATTTCTGCATGCTCTCTTTCATTTACTCTTCTTGTTTTTACGTTGATCGTAGACGTTATCAGTTTTTCCATTAACTGTTCAATTTTGTTTTTTGTGTATTTTTTTTTTCTATGCTTTTTTTCATTTACTTTGTTTGCGCTCGCCTGGCGTGCTTCAGTTAAATAAACTGTGGAAGGTTGCTGCAACTGATGGCTCAGATTCTTATTTGGCCGGGGATCCACAGAAAACGGACTCCTCCCACTTGTGGTGCACCTCGGGCGTCAGATTGCTAATATGCACGTGCACAGCCTGATGTTTCTCGAATTTTGGCGGTATGGCGCACAACCGATACTTGACCTCATCACCCTCCATGGGCACATATTCACCTTCAATGCTGCGATTTCCAAGAGAAATACACAATGAAAAATTATAACGACTAAACAGAAAAAAATTTCAAGGTGCATTATTTAATTGACTCACTCGGAAACATGGCAGAAAACGTCCTCGCCGCCGCCATTGGGCGTTATGAAGCCATGTCCTTTGGTGCGGCTAAAAGATTTCACAACACCGCTAACAACTGGATTTTCCATGGCGCGTGCCGAACTGTTTTTGTTGTTGTTGTGCGCGCGCGCGTGTTTTTTTTTTTTTAAGCAAAATTGTAGAGCAAGGAGGAGAAGCAGACAATTAAATCAATGCAAGATGAGAACGAATAAGTAAAGAGTAGGCTGTTAAGGGGGCGGGGGGCAGGACTTACGTCGAGGCCGTGCGTGTGCGTCGCGTGATTATTGGGCTCGGTAGCTGCAGCGAAGCGTTTGGACTATGGCTATTTTGATGATAAATTGGCGGCTTCGTGGACAGCATCTTTTCGGGTGTTTTTGGCTCGGCCATTGTTGCTGCTGTTATTTCCTGTTAGTGGCAAGCGGGTGATGTAAGTGTTGGAAGTATTAAATTTTTGTTTAGCGTTTCACACACTGACACAATAACACTCTGGCACACTCTGTGTGGACAGCAGCCAAGTCTGTGAAATGTGGGATGTTGAGTTCAAGGCCACAGCGGTTAGTCAGCAGCGAATTGCTCAACACTCAACACACACACACGCAAAGTGTGTTTCAATTGTCGCTCACCTAAATCGGCAGTGAATGTTAATTGAACGCACTTCCACCCAAAATGTAAAGGGTCTCGTATTTCAATGTTCTGTAATTTATATCAAGTTTACTAATACTGATGCAATTTGGTTGCCAAACTCTGCAATGGCAGTGTGCCGGCAATTGACTAATACCGAAAAGCGCGCGACGGTTTTACAATTTGTGTTTAGCTTGACGCTCACAATAAACTCTGCAATTATTTAGGCGTAATTTTCGCACAACTCATACGGCTAATAAGCAAATTAAATCGGTTCGTTTTCGTTCCAAAACCAAAAATGAATGGCGTCGGCGGCGTCAAAAAGGTTTGTAGAGCACCTAGAGTAGAGTACTTCGATACCACACACTTTGTACTCGATTAATTTTTGTTACGGGCAGTGCTGCCAGATGAGCAGCGGTGCCAGATGTCGCAATTTAAAGTGCAAAACATCGACGCGCACTATCTACTAATTTTACTATCGGTATTGAAACAAACCAAAATTATTAGGACGCTGAGCCCTTAGGCCATATCTATATTCATTTTATTGGATCAACATTGTCACTAACTGTATTGATAGTATTTAGAGAAAGCAGATAGGAGATGAGCGACAGCGACACGGATACATCTGAAGCGAGCAGCGATAGTCAGGACATTCAGCCCCTGTTGCGACGTCATCGGGGGAATCGCTTGCAGCGCATGGGACCCACTCAGGATCAGGAGCGTGTCGGGCAACACTTACTGATTGCGGCCGTTTTGGATGTGTTTGATGAGTCGGAGAATTCCGAGATGTCCGAGGAGGCGGATGAGGCTGAAGTAGTTGCTGAAGCAGAGGCTGAAGTAGATGTTGAAATAGAGGCTGAAGAAGATGTTGAAATAGAGGCTGAAGAAGATGTTGAAATAGAGGCTGAAGTAGAGCGACCATTGCCGTTGCCGCAACGTAGGTTGACTGTGGAATCGATCAGTGATCCAGCTGCATCGCGTGAACAATCCGATGATGAGGAGGCGCCACCTGTTGAGCAAGACGGTGTAATTCCCGTCGCTCCAGATGGTGATGATGATCAACCATCAACATCCCGACAGGCACAGCCTGAACAGCAGCAGCCGCCAAATGAATCTTTAATAGTTCTCGATTCACAATCGCCACCAAAAAAAAGGAAGCGTCCATCGGATTTGACCAGTGGTAATATGGGCACACCAGTGGCCAAGGCAAACGATGAGGAGGTGGACGATGGCATGACATGTACTATATGTCTGGAGTCGTGGGAGATGAGCGGTGATCATCGTTTGGTCTCGCTGCGTTGTGGCCACTTATTCGGCGACTCCTGCATTCGACGATGGCTCATCGAGAGCCAACGCCAGTCATCCGTCAAGGTGTGTCCGCAGTGCAAGACAAAGGCCACCACCCGTGATATCCGGTGCCTCTATGCAAAGCGTTTGCGTGCCATCGATCGTACCGAGGAGTATGAGATGCGACGCGACCTGGACGCTGAGCGTCGTCGCGCCCAGAATCTCGTCACGGAGCTGGCCACTGTGAAGATGGAACACTCGGTGACCGCTAGTAAATTGAAGGCTGTGCAGCTTGAATGCGATCGATTGAGTTCACTGGTGCGTGCCGGCTGCAATCGTGGGGAAATTGACAGTGAAGTGGGTCGCAAGGCTCTTACTTTGTTGCCACGACATCGCCTGTATATGGAGAAGAACTTTGACATTACCCGCGATCCGGGTTGCCGGGTGATGCTCTATTCGGCGCAGCACACAATGCTTGTGGCCTCGCAGAAAAGCCCACATGCGATGTTCTCGGGCTACGGTTTGCGCTTCATCCATCCATTCACCTTCAAACTGTTGAATTTCCTGCACACCTCGATCTTGTTGGTACGCGACATAGCGTTCAGCGAGACCCTGCACATGTTATCGGTGGCCAGTCGGGAGTCGCGTGTCAAGGCATTTGACAGTCGGATGCGTCACTGCAGCAGCGCCGTCTCCGCCCACGATAAGCTGCTCTGGTCATGTGCCGTGGATCGCGACGCACGTGAGCATATCCTGTATGCGGGCGATTTGCGCGGCGGCGTCTACGTCTATGATGTTCGCTACCCGGATAATATCCTCAGCGAGTTTCAGTCAACAGGTAAGCACATTTGGACACATCTATTGCCATATTCAGACACTTATCCATCTTGTGCGCAGATAACTTTAGTCCGGTGATCAACATTGCTGCGGTGCCCCCTGGCAAAATATTCCCATATGGTGGCTTTCTCGTCTGTCAGCTGAGCGTATTGACATTCTATGAGTATGTGCATGATACGGCGGTGCCCACGCGTCTGGATGTGGCGGGTCCATTCCTCTCCATGCAGTACGATGCTGTGCAAGATTCGTTGCTGATCTCGGCACGCAACAATGCCCAGTATCCACAGTCGCGTTTCATACTTGGCAAGCTGCTGAAAGTGGATGGTGTGCCAGTGCTCAAGATTACGGCCACTGTTTTTGGCTCATCCGGAACGCCGTACATAACACGGCCCACACAGCTGGGCGTGGAGGATAATACGGTAATTGTGGGCTATCTGCAGGATAGCAAGCAGCTGATGATGTATGATGTGCGGCGCGAGGAACGCGTCCAAACGGTGCCCGTCAACGAGGTCGTCTACGACATCTGTCCGTTGCGCACCCCGACCGGCTCGTATCTGGCCGCCCTCAACGAGTGCAAATGCCGCATCTACAAGGTGATCAGCAGTCAACACTGATAAGTCTGACAATTCTTTTGTTGTATAAAGGCTGTGGGCTAATTGATTGGTTTTCCCCCAATTAGTTAAACAGTTTAGTTAGTTGATAGTTAAAAGAGTTGCAATATGTTTCCATTGTGACATTTTATTTAAACATTCTCATGCTGTTGCTTCACACACACAAACATTAAATATATTTGTATTAGTTATAAATTTTTTTGTTTACTGTATCACTTTACACACAAGATCTTGACCATTATGCTGAAAGCTATAGCAATATCTGTGTTTAAAGACCTTTTGATTCGAGTGTTTCAATTTTGGTTTTCGTTTCATTTTGCGCGGACCTTGTCTAAACATTTATAAGTAATTCATTTTGAATTTGATTATAGTTTCTTCCATTTGTTTTTTGTTTGTTTGTGATGAAAATGATCATAATAATAAACATGATTGGAAAAATGTACTGTGTTATTATTAATATACATATAAAGCTATAGAAAAATTGTATTGCGCTGGCATAGATTCTAAGTGAATTTTAAACCAAAATAAATACAAATCTCAATGTCCGACTTTATATTTTAATCGTCGCCCATTGGGACAGTCTCAAAAGTTAAACACATGTTTAAATTGTTTAATATATATATATATATATTTTTTCTTTTATGCGTTCTCCTGTTTGCTTACTAAAACTAATTGTTTGATTTTTTGTTGTTGATTTTGTTATTATTATTGTTGTTATTTTGAGTCTTGCTATAGTCCCCCGGTTACTATGTAAAATTGTATCAAAAAAGATCGTTGGTCAAAGGTTTTTAACTCGCTCGTTAAACCGCTCAGCTATATGATTTATATATACTATATATATATATATATATATGTATATATATGATGAATACGTAGAGTTATAGAATGTGTATGTGTTTGTATATGTGTGTTGGATAGTTGAAAGACGCCGAATTATGTCAATACTTTTCAAGTATATATTTTGTTTATGTTTTATTTGTGTGTGTGTTTTGGGTGTGTGTTAAGATTAAAGAATACATTATCGTAGATATATGCATTTGTATATGTATATGTTTATGTTTATGTTTATGCTTTAGTCGAGACATACATATACTTAGATGAAGATGCTGCTGTGGAGTTACGGGCTATACTACTACATATATGCATATAGACGAGAACTTACAACTTAAATAATTGTCGAAGAACTAAATGTACAGTTATGTAATTCGTATATAAACACTAGATTCACTTAGGCTAAACTAAACTCGAAATGAAATTGTAATTTTTTGTTTTTTGTTGGGGGCTTAAAAGCGAAAGGGGAAGAAACGAAACTCTTGCAAGGCTGTAAAGAAATTCGCCAAACGTTGTCATAGATGATGTGTGATTTATAGAGGGAGTTTAGATTGGGATTGGTTTTTGATCGTGGCTTAATCGACGCGCGCATAGCGCGGCACAATATCCTTGCTAATCCAGTAGTTGCAGTGCTCCAGATCCTCCTGCGACTGAGCATCCTGCCCGACAATGATGACCCGGCGACGCGATTCAAATGTCTGAACCGTGCCATGGGAGACATAATAGTAGAAGAGTTGCTGCATCGCCGAGACAAAGCGTCGCTGCTCCACAGTATGTGGCTCGTAGCGTCCCAGTATGGCCTGGACATCGGCATCGACGGTGGCCAACTGATCATCGCCCTCACCCTGGGTGACCACATAGAAGGGCACACTCGGCTGAAGGCGGGCATTTGTCAGCAGCGGGCAAACCGTTTGAATATCCGTTATGATGGCCACCAGTGACGCATAATTGGTGGCATTGTAACGCTGAATGATCTCATCGGTTAGGCCAAGTTCGCCTAGTTTGGAGGCCTGCAGATACGAGCGCACCTCCTCTGCAGTCCAATTGGCGTGCCGTTCGCGCAGCTTTAACGTATGCGCCTCGTGGGCGGTGGCGCCCATCACGTAGCGTGGATGCTGCAACTGACTGGCGGTGGGCACCTGTTTCCAGGACTCGGATGGATGCTGTTGCAGTATGTCGCCGTCGAGTACCAGCCACTCGTGACGATTGGCATTGCTCAGTTCGAGTTCCTGGGGCGATGTGGTCGGGAAGTGGAACCAGGTGTCCGGTGTGGCTGCCCACAATTTCTCGCTGGATGTCTCACGCAGACAGACCGCATCCTGGCACTCGAGCGTGGTCATTAGCTGCTGATTCGAACGCTCCGATTCGTGCAGCGGTTTGCCCGGAAAGATGGCCGATCCAGAGGAGGCCCAGGCGCGTGTATAGTATTCCTCCAACTTGGCCGAGCTGACCAGTGTCGATACCAAGGTGGCACCGGCACGATGACCCAACAGTGTCACCGACTTGGGATCACCACCAAAGTGCATAATGTTCCGCTGTATCCACTTGAGAGCGGCAACGATGTCCGTCAGCGCATAGTTACCCGATGTGCGTGGATGCGACTCCTTGGTGAGTGCATCCAGTGCAAGGAAACCAAAGACACCCAATCGAAAATTGGGACGCACAAAGATCACATCGTGGGATCGTGAGTAGCGAGCCGATGGGCGCAGAATTCCCGGCGACGGACCCGTTAGCGACTCAGCACCGATGAGCACCACCACGGGCAGTGGATTCGTATAGCGTACATGTGGTGTGACCACATCCAAATACAAGCAATCCTCATCGCCAATTGTTGTGCCGTTGCCCAATCTCTGCGTGCACACCGTGCTCTCATTGTGCGTCTGCAACGTGCCATTCCAGCAATCGTCGATCTTCTCAATCAGCTGGGCGGGACGCCAGCGCAAATCGTCAATGGGCGCCTTGGCAAATGGTATGCCACGGAAGGCAAATGCTCCATCCTCCTTGACGCCCTCAACCATGCCGCAGCTGGTCACCGCCGAGATGTAGCGTCCTTCGCGCAACGGTGGCGATGTTAGTGTCTCGTGGGTCAGCACATAGCCGATGACGGCGAGCAGCAGCATGAACAGCAGTATGCCAAACACAATCAGTGCATCATCCACGCTGCACTTGTAGCCGAGTAGGCGGCACCAGAGGGAGATGGGACGATCTCGCTCCTCCTCCTCGGCGGCCAGTTTCTGCTCAGCGGCCAGTTTATCATCCTTCAGATCGCTTTTGAGCTCATCGGCGCCATTGGTTTTGAGTGGTGCACGATCAACGGTATCCTGATCCTTCAGTGAGTCATCCAGCGTCTCCATGGAAGCGAGACCAGCTTTGCCCAGACCCAGTTCGACATCGTCACCGGCTTTCTTACGTGGCATCATATTGGCAATGGGCAGCTTGATGGCATTGAGTAGACCACGTTTTGGCGGCGGATCAGCATCCTCGACAGCGGCAGCTTCAGCGGTGGCTTCTGTTTGGGAATCGGGATTAGCTATTGCATCAGTTTTCAGTATGTTTCTTCCAAACTTACCCGACTTGGCATCCGCATCGCCATTGTTTAGTTGCTTCTTTTGCTGCTCCTTGTCCGCGGCTGGTTTGCGCACAAAGAAGCTGCGCAGACGCTGGCCGAGATTGGTGCGGGGCTTCTGCTCATCCTTGTTGGGTGTGGTTGTGGCATCACCTCCATTGGCCTCTTTCTCCTCCTGTTCCTGCTCATTGTCCTTCTCGAGCAGCTCACCCTCGGCACCGTCGCCCTCCCCCTTTGGCTTGTTCTTCATGAAGAAACCGGGTAACTTGAGTCCACCAATCGGTATCTTCTTCGGCTTCACCTCGCGCTCCTCCTTGCTGATCTTCTTCTCATCGGTGACATCGATGGCGGCGCCCGGTTTGTTACCATTCTCCGTGGGTATATCGATGATCTCCTCGCCATTGTTCAGTGGCTTTTCGACCACATTTTTGGAGAGCACCTCCAGCGGCACCTCTGGTGACTTCTTGCCAGTATTCGGTGTACCTGGCTTAGATGTCTGTGGACTCGGTGTCTTCTCCTTCTTGGCATCGAGCATTTTGTCCGTCTCCTTGGGCTCATCCAACGTGGACTCTTGTACCGTTGTCGTTTCAGTCTGTGGCGTTTCCTTCTCCTCAAGTTCGCCCATCTCGGAGTCTGTGTGTCTGTTTAAAACGAGTCGCTTCGGTTTTTTGGGATTACTTTAGAGAACTCTGTGTGAATTCTGAAAGAGAAGAATTCAACTTAGATTTCGTTATGCCTCCAATTATATATTTTCCAGCTGCTAACCTGGACTTAGTTTATTTAATTTATTTTTTGTTAACTATGTTAAACTTTGGCTTCAGTTTGTTTATATTTTTGTGTAGTTGCTATGCAGCTAAGGATCTAGGATCTATCACGATCGCTGGCTGATTTGCTTCTAGCTGCCGCTGTCTGCAACGTTTGACTTTTATATGCAATCAGGGAATATCGCCGGGAAAATTGTCAATTGCCGGCTGCAATTGCAGTTGCTTGCGCGATTTGTTGCTGCTACCTGAGGACGAGGTACGTGCCCCGCCTTGCCTTGCATTGTCTACCTGGAAAAGCGTCTCAGGTAAGCGTGAAAATTCGCCTGTATTATCGTTTTGGCTGCCGCATGGCATTTTTCTTTTTCCTTTTCGGGGCGGGAAGACCGCAAATTTTGTTAAACAGCCAGCTGCGCTCTCTCACCCTCCTTCTCCCCTCCGGTCAGCCTGCCTGTCTGCCTGCAGCCTAATCTTGCCCTGTCCCTGCCACGTACCTCGCGATACGTGCGCTTTGAAGCATTTCACACATTTCCCTAAGCAAAACAGCAGTCGCCTTTTAATTAGCGGAAAACTTCGAGATCAACGTTTACGGCCCAAGAAACCCAAGGACATCGGATTGGTCTCAATCATTAAGCCTGACGCCGCTGGCTATAAAAAAAAAAAATACAGAAAATGCTAGCTATTATTGTGACAGTAGCACGTTCGTGAAAGATTTGAGTTTGGCTAATTGACCACAGCGACAGGAGACAGGCGACAGAAGTCATGAGAAAGTCCTTTCAAAAAATTAACCTTTGCACAGTTTGCTTTTTTAATGAACAAACATTTGCACTGCATTAACCAGAAAACTTATAGGAGTCGGGAAGGTTCCCCGACAGACTCGTTAAAAAGATATTAGCCAAGTGCTGCGAGGTAACTATAAGCTATAAATATAAATAGTCCATTATATATATACATAGTCAGTAAATACATAACAGTTCAGTTTTATAGGTCTATTGCAAAAGTATAGCTAGATGATTCTCGTGGTTGCTATTATACTAAACTATAAATATATAAATATACTTATGGTCTACCAACTGTTTGGCAAGTGTGGCTAAGGAACTATAAGGTAGCTGAACTTTAATAATCAATTAATTCTGTCAGCCAAATTCATATTTATTGTAGGAAAGAGTTCACTAAATATCAATAAATCTATAAATCAACCAATACGATAAATATATTTAAGTGTGGACTATAGATTTATTGTAAAGTATATATGGATTCTAGCGGATTCTATTAACCCTACTAATATATAGCTATGATCCTTAAAATTAAATTAATTCACTACAACTATATGAATTTAAATATTTAAAGTTTAATCTGGCATATACATATATATAGAAATATAACTTATAGAAATTAAGAATCCTGTCCGTGGCTTATGGCTTATATTTAGACTCATCCTCAAATTAGTTCATTTCCTTATGCTTTGTCAACTTTTAATTAGTTCATTATTTATGTGGTGATTCTAAGAATATGGATCAGCTTTTTAGTAGCTGATAACGTTTAAGATTTGTACCAATCCGAATGAACTACTTGGAAAGTAGTGTCAGTGTCGTTATCTTCTGATGGCACACTCACTCTATTTTACCAGCCCCAAGAAGCCACAACAAATCCCGAACAATCCTCAACATGTATCTATGTATATTCATGTGTATACAGTATTTGTAGAGCCCTACGCATCAAAGGGGGAGAATGGAAATGTAAAAACGATGCCATGTCGCGACCTCGGTGCATGTAAATCAAACGAAATTCCATTAAAATGTGAACTTACGAGTTCAAATCGTTGCGTGCCATAATCTGTGGACATTATCGTTATCATTATCACATGGTGCACAGTGCGATGTTTGCTCAACTGCATCGAAATTGTGCAGTGTGGTAGAAAGCGCCGACAGGGAAAACTAAAACCAAAATGGAACACAACAACAAATTGAGAATCGAGTGAGGACTGAAGAATGAAGAATGAATGGAACGCATGTTGTTGCGTATCGAAAGTGAAAAAAGTGTCACTTGTGGCACATGCAACGAGAATAGAAATCCAATTGAAGCCGATTAGAAGGGGGAAAAGAGGTGTAAAGGAGGAGGTGGATGAGGAGGAGGAGGCGACTCTGTCTGGTAGTTTGACCGTTACAGACTCGTTAACAGAAGCAGGTCAAAGTAATTATAGCTGAAGCTCCAAGCAAGCTCCTAATATATGTATAGTTGAAGTGTCTGTAGCTGCAACTGCAACTGCAACTGCAGTTGTATATGTGTGTGTGTATCTGTGTGCGGCATCTTTATTGCAATTGCTAAACGCAGCAGGAAAATGAGAAACAGAACGCGAGTTGTTCATAAACTTTCAAATAGTCATCATTGTTAATTAGCTGAGCAATGTGTTGAAAGTCTTTGACCATCATCAACATCATCATCATCCTCGTCATCATGATCATCGTGGCAGACGAGGGGGCCAAAGTTGACGCGCCCATCGTCACGCATGTCGTCGCCACAGATATCTGACTACTATATCTTGGTATGTACATAGCATGTGGCATATGTGGCCAGTCGGTCTATAATTTGTCTTGCCTCATAAATTAAATCAAATTCGAAACTTGCGTTTGACATGCGATTCTATTTTCCTGTACTGTTTTCTTTTTATTTGTTCCGTTTTCTATTTCTTTTTTTTTTTTTAGTGCCGCATAACCAAAATTGCCGTTAAAACATTAATGTTTGGTGTCGACAAATGCTGCAACCATTCTTTTGCTTAGGGTGTGCACAGTGGTGTGAGGCACTTTTTTTGTATGAAATTTTTTACGAAGGCAGATGTTTTTAAGCCAAATCAATCTGGCCATTTCCGATTGTTCTTGATTGGGACTAGTATATCGATAGCAGCCCCGGCATCGACCAAAATCGATTTCGAACTTTAATAGAGGCCGAATTTTTACGATACATGGCCACTCTGCTCGCCAAAGTAATCTGTTTGAAAAAGTAGTCCTTTTCAATTCGCTTATTAATTTTAGATGACAACAAATTTTCTAACTGATGTGTAAACTTTTATTGTGTTCAGAATTCACCCGGTTTAAAATAACTGTTTAAATCACTGGCAGCAGCTGAGCTCAAAACGAGTAAGGCAAAAGCAAAGAAAACAAGAAAATAACGGCAAATTATGTTTAGAGCGACAGCAAGCAGTGCAAATCCAAGCAGTGTAAAGCAAAAACAAAAAAAATGCTAGCCTATTTAGTTGTGACAGCAGATTTTAAATTTCACTGTCGCTTTTACTCATTTTTCATGCATTTACAAGTGGCGTATCGAAGTCAAAGTAATCAGAGAGAGAGAGGGAGAGAGAGACAGAGAGAGAGATGATTATTCCCAATTTTACAAGCTTAAACTTCAAACAATTTACATAAAACAATTTTATCGCTTTTTGGATAAAATAATATTAATATAGTAAGTTTCCTAAGGTTTCGGCCCACTGTAGTGCGCTGAAGAGCATATAACATTAAAGGTAAACCACACATAAAAACTAATCCTACCCCTAGCCAGAAAAAAGAAAAAACAGAAAACAATAAAAATAAGCAACAACTAGGCAAGCATTAGGCGTAGTGTAAAAGCGTCTAATGCTCGACCCCTAATCAGCTAATAAATTTGAAATATCTTTAACATGTCCAAAAACACTTTGAAAAGCATAAAAATGCAATTGTTGTGCACACCCAGAGAGTATGTGTCTTGTGGGTGTGTGTGTGTGGGAAAACACACAACTGCCACCGAAAGGTTGTTGTTTAGTTGTTGTTATTTGTTCTAACTGCCAACAGAGGCGCAATCTGTAAATGTTGAACCCTTGGTGCTTTACCGCCAAAAGTCAGCCAAGCATGAAATGAAATTCAAGAAGGAAATGACAGCAAACAGGCAACAGGGGGTTAAACAGCAGTCGGTTTGATTGAAAGCAATGCGTCTCCCATTGTTATTGTTATGATTAGTGTTGTTGACTAACTCACGCAAAACTAAATTGAAGAATTGCCGTTGTTGCCAACTCCAACTGCCAGATGGCGTGCGTGTTGACACGCAGTAAAGTCCAAAAACCAATTTGGGGGGAGCGGTTTGCCCAAGTCAGAAGCGTCAGCATATGTGGAGGGGAAGACAATTAAGCCAGGATATTAGAAAAACGGCAGCAGGGCTGCCATTAAAAATCATGATTGTGATCAAATTTCAGACAAACGTTTAAGCAGACGCCAAGTTATGATTATATACGAGGAAATGCAAGTCTAGACAGCGATAACAGAGGCAGATAAACATAGTTGGGTTGATGGTGGTGGCAGGCACACACACAACAAATGCAATTAACACCCGGCACCTGGTGGGTGAAAAAGAAATCTGTCAGGTGGCAGTTTGAAGGCGCCAATTGGCTGGGCCTGAAATATTGCAACAGCAATCAGCGGTATATTCAATAAACCTGCGGCATAAGCATTTTTCAATTTAAAGCACTCTCTCTCCCTCTATCGCTCTCTCTGTCTTTCTCTCCCTAGTGTCTCTCTGTCTCTCGTATTTGAATCGAGGCCTCTAACGAAGTCAATTTGTCATCCCAGACACCGAGAGACAGGCGGATCCAATGAAGGGCCGACAATCTAAAACCGACAACCGACAAACATGGCTAGCAGACACTCGATTTTGGCTAACAAGCTGCTGCTGCCGTCGACGAGTTCAAGTACAAATGCCTTGAGGTGCTTTTGTGTAACTGAAAGATAGCCATTTATTAAACGGTCCGCCCGCTGGAAATTAACTTTTAATAGCCTTGGCTTTGCTTGTGGTTCTCCATGTTATTGTTAATTTCATGGCAATTTATTTACAGAACATGTACCAGAAGGGGAAGGGGATGGGAAAGAGTTATGAGCCGAGCTGTTAATGAACTTGCGCCATTTGCCAATTGCGCTTGAATTGAAGTACGTTTGCATGTGTGCAAGTGGCCCAAAAAAGGAAGAGTGGCACAGGAGCAGGAAAAGAAGCAGCCAAGCAGGAAATGTGGAAGCAAAATAAACCCCAACCTGGGAAACGAGACCACAAGAGGAGAGCAACTGTGGTTAGCTCTGCCTCTCGTCCGTGCACGTGCAAACAACTTGGACTTGCTTTCTGCACAGATGATAATATGGCAGTTGGGCGCAGGTAGACCGTAGACCTACGAAAAACAAAAAACAACACACACATCAAGGGGTGAAATATCCAATGGAATAAATAAATAACAGGGGCGCCATTTCGCCTAGGGATTTGAGACCACTCACAAGTTTTTATGATTTACAAATTGCGCTCGTGAGACAATCAAAAAAAGGACCTTGTTTTGCTTTGAAATACCCTATAGATGAGCCTGCGACAAAAGGTATAACTGAAAACGAGCTTCAAAATAACAAAGTTTATTAGATTTAAATTTTATATCGATATTTATCGATATAAGGAATCATTAATGTCAAGGAACATAAATTGTAGGGTATTTTGTTGTCGAACACTCTTCAGTTTCAGTTTCAACACATAGTAAATGTTTCGCTTCGCTTATCTGCATATATAAAACGGATCAATGTAAGTTTTTATTGCGCATTTCGAGCAAACAAAGATATCGTTTCGGATTTCTAAGTATCGCTCCATCTCGCTCGCACACACACACACACTGTACAATTGTCAAGGATGCGTTAGTTGGTTATTTTATGAGCCAACGATAAGGCATAGATTGCCTCGACCAGATAAGCGAGCAGCACAAAAGGAAAACTCGAATTGAAGTGCACCACAGGACACTCAAAATGGATTTTTACGAGTGTAGTGTGTGCGTGCTTGTGTGTGTGTGTATGTGTGTTGGTATGGTTTTTGAGTTAGGAGCCAGTTTTGTTTTCTTATTTTTTATGTATTTCCTTTTTACTGTTTACTTTGTGTGTCAACAGTTGGGACAGTGAAATTTATGAGTTGTTTTCCTATGGTTGCCTCATTAGTCAGTGTCAATAGAGGAGTAGGGAAGGGAGCGGGCGGAGGGGGGATGAGTGCGATCTGTGCAACATTGTGGATCGATGAGGGATTTACCGACCCGGAAAAGTCAATTGAAATGAAACATTTGACCATGAACCCATGAAAAGCAGCGTGTAGAATTGGTTGGGTGAAGGGGGCAGGGAGTGTGGCACGTTTGTTTATCTTGGAGTGAAAAGTGTTGAAGATATGTTGTTTAGTTTTTTACCCCCCAAAATGAGTGACATCAAAACCTTTTGCCAGCCGTGGAAAATTAAAGTCTCTAATTGTTGTTTACAGTTGTGTGGTGAAAGCAGCCGTGCCGCCCCAACAAATATGGGGGCCCTCTGCCACGCCCCTTCCATCTAGCAACCGCCCATTACATAAGAAATTTCAATTGAATTTAAAGCAACTTTTGATTACGCAGTGGAAATGGAAAAACACGAAGAAGAAAAAAAAACTAGGCAATGAAAAACTGAAAGCGGCTTTTGTCTTTGAAAGCTGGCAAAACAATTGGGCAAAAGTGGGGTGGGTGCTGATAGGTGATAGGTGGGTGTTGGTGGGGATGGAGTTGGGGTAATAAAGATGCTCCACACTGGAACAGTCGCGGACCAATAAATCTTGAATGCAAATGTTGCCGCTTTCAGTTTTTTCCCCCAAAGCTGTCAAGTCTTTTTTATGTAATTTTCACGAAGTTTGCTTTGATTTCTGTTGGTTTCTTCTTCTTATTAGTGTTGTGTGTGTTTTCTCTCTGATGATTCCCGGAAATCATTTTCATTGTTTTCTTTGTTGCACAGCTGCCTGGAAACTGCGTCGGTTTCTTAATTGCCACAGCGCCTATTAATTTATTATTGAATTATTGTAGAGCTGGAGGCTTTGTGTCCAAATTCCAACTTCCAATTTTGTTTACCATCTCCATTCGGGATTATTTTCGCTGGCTTGCATATTAATGAGGCCTACGCAGCTATTTTTGGCCAATGCCACAAACCCAAAAAAAGGGGCAATGAGAAATATGAGCCTATTTTTATCGAGAAGATCTGATGCCTGATAGATAGATTGAAATATATAATGACATTTTGTGGGCTTAGCGCGCGTTATATTTATGAAATGTTCAAAAGGATTTCGAATGCATTTTCTCCACACACAACTCACAACTGTGATTAATATGCCGTTAATGGAAATGTTCTCGAAACGAGCCGGAGAATGAAAGGGATTTCAAAAGGGAAAGGGAAAGGGATTTGAGGGGAGAAATTATTGTGGGGGGAGCAATGACACGAGCTATTAGTTTTAAGATGCTTAGGGTACTAGAGAAAGGGGGAGAGGTGCGAAGAAAATGAATCTATTTTCAAGCTTAAGCTGAAATAAATTATGGAAAATTGAAATAATATAAATGCGCAAAAACTTCACTTTCCAAACGAAATATTTAACTTCATCTTAACATGTATGGAATATTCTGAACATATTTTACAAGAAAGGAGATGCGAAAAAAATGAATCTATCTATCTATGGATGATTGGAATAATCCAAAAGCGTAAAAGATTCACTTTCCAAATAAAGTGTACACTTTAACTTTTATGGAATATTATTAAAATATTTTAAAATGTTGCTAATTGGAAATATGTTTCTTAATTTTTGATATTTGTTGCAAGAATTCTTTAATCTTAAAAAAAAACCACACTTTTGCTTATCACCAATATGAAAATAAATGAATTTAACGTTGCTTACTTGTTTCACTTTAGACAAATCTATGGCAAAATATGGCAAGTGTGAATAATCCGAGTGTGCAGCATAAAGCGGGCATATGTGGTAAATGCACAAAATCCGATGGCGAGTCCTGCAGGACACTTGGGTGTGTATAACATGCACAGATTGCTGGCTCAGTTCAAGACAGCAAAAATAAAATGTAACAAATTTTCACACAACAATTATTTGCCTTTGTTTTTGATTTTCTTATTCACTTTTATTTTGACACTTATCCTGGCAAATAGGAATATAAAAAGATATCCTACACAAGGCCGGTCGTAGTTTTTTTTGTTATTGTTGTTGTTGTTTGTTTGCTTGTGTGTTTGATGGGAAGGGATAATGAGTGGAGAGTAGAGAGCTGGAAAAGTGCTCGTCGCGTGCGCGTCAACTGAAGCAGAGGAACCGAAAGCGTGCGGCGTCTAGCAGAGCGTGGCTCAAACTGGCGGCCAGCAGCAGTCACTTCCATTCACAACACCAAATGAAAAACTTTAGCAAGCAACTGGAAGTCTGCGCTCTTTTTTGTGCGCTCTTTCTCTCTATTTCTCTCGCTTGGCGTTCGCTCACTGGAAAGACAGGCTGGCAATGCACAACAGAAACTGAAAACTGCCGCCAGCATAGGGGTTGCCCATCGCATCAAAGCAGCAGGGCGCTCTTCGTACTCGTCTCTCTCTCTCTCTCTCTCGCTCGCTCTCTCTCCCCTTTGCATTTGTCTTTCTCGGTCCCTCGCGCTCTCTCTATCTGTTTGTCTCGCGCCCTGCTGCAGGGATTGTGCATGGCAAGCACAACAACAACAACTGCGGCACATGGCGACGGCTTCGTTGAGGTTTTCTTTTTTTGTTTTCAATTTTTTCCGTTTTGTTTTTTTGTTGTACAGTAAATGCAAAATACATTGTACGCTGCACAGTAAATGGAAGCGGGGATGAGAGGCAAGCGGTTGTTTTGTTGCTTGGCTGACAGTTCATTGGGATTCCGTTTGGAGATTCACCTCGAAAATGGCACAAGTGTTGACGCTAAGGAGATGGAGGCCCAAGCAAAACATCTGTCTGCCTATGAGAATCACGCAATTGATGCGTCATAATAACTAAACCAACCCCCCTCCCCCTCTCCGCACTCCCATGCTTTTTAACCCCTTTTTCTGTCATTTGCCTACCCCTGAGAATAAATATAACTTTTTATTTGTTATTACTTTGCCGTTATTGTAGTTGCTCTTGCTGTTGCTGTTGTTGCCTTGCCATTTTTCATGTCAACTTGTGATGCGTGGCGAAAGTGACGAGAGAGTAGGACAGAGAGAGAGAGAGAGAGAGAGAGGGAGAGAGAGAGAAAGGGAGGAGAGGGGATACAGCATCGACAGCCTGAAGTAGTCATTAGGCGGTCGCATTAACCGTTTGAGAATTGTAAGCGCTTTAGCTTGATTAATGCAGATTTCAGCTTAAAGTCAACTCCTCGAATCCATCAAAAAGTGTCAGATTAACGCATAAATTTGATTTGTTCCGTAATTAAAGTTTTTAATGTATCTACTAAGCATTAAAAATCCTGTCAGCGACTACCTCCCCCCCGCACCGGCCTTGTTAGCCCACATGTTGACAAGTTTCACGCCTAGCTTGGCTCGTCAGCAAATAGGGGTTTTCCCTCCCCAAATGTTCAAAAATGTTGACAGTTTGTGGCTACTGAAGCAATTCATTTGAAAATTGTTTGTGGCAGCTGCAGCACACAGAATGCACCGCTATGTGCCACAAATGTTGGCCCCTAAAAAAGAACGTGACATGAAATGCGTATCGAGTTACGCAGAGTCCGACAAACTGACGTATGCCTGTCACGTCATTTTTGGGCATACAGATCGAGAGGATCGAGAATCGAGGAAACCCGCCAAATGCCGCAACGGGGGCGTGCCCAGCGGCAAGGAAGCGAAATTGAGGCACATGTGGCATGTTGCTGTTGTTTTCTGGATGTGGGTTGTGTTTGGTAATTAACAAGTTCATGTTTAATTTAAATTTGGATCAGACTCGCGTGGGTAACAGGAAGTGCATCAAAATTGCCGTTCTTATAGGTATTCTTATTGCCATTGAGTCACTGTCCTCCCCGCTACGCCCCTCTTCCCTCTCTCGTAATTCAATCTACAATTTGTGCCCCCTTTTTCTAGAGAGGATTGCTGTTAGCAGAAAATAAATAAAACCCAAAGCCGCTTTATGTTTAAGCTCAATTATATGGCTTTTCTTCTTTCCTTTTTTTTGGGTGTGTTTGTTGTTGTCTCTTTTTTGCAGCCATAAGTGATTCCTGGCTTAAGCGCCTTAAAGTGGGCCATAAAAAAGCGCAACTACAAAAAACAGCGTTAAATTCAAAGCATAAAAACTTTTTGGCAAGCATTTCCACAACATAAAAACTTTGTACAAAATGTCCTGCGGTAGTTTTTATGTACAACATAATAGTAGGGTGCACCTACCACCCAATCCTCCCACCCCACCACTCTACACACACATAAAAGCTACTGTTTTATTTACTGAGCCAAAGGACATAGACTGAATGTGGACACACTTTGTGGTTGCTTGGAGTTTCATGTTGCCTGCTTGCTTGCCACATTAAATATGAGACCAGCAGCTTAAGTGTTTCTTGGAACTGAGGTTAAGCACCGCCAGCAATAACGGCACACAGTAAAAGGGTGAAATTGAGTACAATTATCTATTCGTGAATGAAACAATTGTTAAATGATAACTTAATGTCCACTTACCAAAAAACCCACACAAGTTTTAGTTTTCTAGACTTTCCCTACACTCTGAAAAAACAATAGTATTTTTATGTTTTTTGGAATAATTTGTAAATATTAGAAACAAATTTCGAAACATTAGAAAGGGTTGCCCCTAAACAACAATCCCAAAAATGTATTTTGGCATGTCTTCTTTAGATACATTTTCTATTATAAAGAAAACAATTTTTAAAATGTAGAAGTGCAAATAATAATTTTGAGAAAGCCACAGCCAGCCATTTTAGATACTCTGGCGATTTTGTCTGAGTGTAGCAGAGTTGCGCTTTCCACAGCCGCATAGGGGTCAATGTGTGGCCAAATGGCTGCAATCAAAACAGGCAGCATTGTTTGTCGGTTCAATGTCTGGGCAAAGATCGAGCAACTTACAGCTGCAAGTACTTGCAACAAAAGACCAAGAGTCTTAAGAGTCAGCAGAGGTGGTGAGAGAGGAGTAGAGTTGCCTTAAGAGGCTCTGGTAGGGAAAAGCGATGAAAATTATGTTCGTGAATGGCTCTCGCTGTGATCTGTGTGCAAAGAGACAAACAACAGGCGCGACAAAGACCATTAAAATTTACTTAAAATTGTATAACAATTGTCCACACACAAAAACACACACATCTATGGGAGTGTGTGTGCGCACACTCAAGTGAGTGGAAAGAATCGCAGAGAGAAAGACAGACAATAGAAGAACAACAAGATGCAAGAACTGCTGCTGCGGCAGTTACCTACAATGCGACGCAACAGACAGACTGACTGACTGAAGAGAGTGGAGTCGCCTCCAAAGTGCGAAAGCAACTTGACAACGGTTAATAATTGACAATCCAGCTGCAGCTGCAGCTCTGGACATGCTGATGATCATGCTGATGCTGATGCGGATGATGATGATGCCGTTGGGGCTGTGGCAGATGCAACACTGTCGCTGCAACGTTTTTAAAGTGTTGCAAACACCCACTTGGAGCCATGGGGCAAACTGTACTTGGCCTTAGAGATGATCGCGTGTTGCATTTGATTTTATTTATATAAATAGGAATAATTTGTTTGTGCGATTATTTGTAATAAGTGAACTAATCTTAAGATAGCTGAGTATTTAAGTTTAATCAAAATTTAAATAAGGTGTGAAGTAAATTGAATTAAATCCTATAATAATTTGATCCATTATTTGACTATACGTTTTAGTTTGACTATCAGCGCCACAGGCATCATTTTATGTTTGTGTTCGTGTCAAGCACGACAGTTAAGTTTAATCACAGTCACTTAAAAGTGTAAAATTTGCTGCAAATGTATATAAAATAAAATGTTTTTGGCTTGACTTTCATCGCCCCAGACTTAATTTTTTATGTTCGTGTCACGAGAGCCACAGCACGACACGAGTCTAACTCCACTTTGTGTGCTGTGCGATTGGAGGGCGATGCTTCAATTGAGGCAGCGTCAGATTAACACACACTGAAAATTGAGGCAAGTTGCAGTTGGAAAGATACTTACTGCTTTCTGTTGCAGTTGCTGTTGCTGTTGCTGGCTGCTGCAGGGGTTTGGCCTGACATTGACATGCAGCAAGCAGCAGGCGAACTCCAGTCAATGTCTCCCCGTTGCATGCAGTTTTGCGTGTGGGCGGCAAGCAGCACATTGTCGCCACAAAGGCATCATTCTAGCTATCTGTCTCTCTCTCTCTCTCTACTCATCTCCATCCCCCTCTCTCTCTCTCTCTTTTGGTTTATAAATAATATGAAACTTCCTACAATTTGTGCCACGAATGATGCGCAGCCCAAAAAAGGTTGGCTTTTATGCGGCATAATTGATGCACAAAGCGCGTCCTATTCAGGTTTCATTATGCATACGCTCGAATCTTGAAATCTTCGCTGATTTGATTAACAAGCTGATGTGCGTGTGTATCTACAGCTATATATCCATGACCATGGGAACAAAACACACACAATCACCAAACCAAACACATAACAGATACAGATGCAGAGCTCTAGATACAACAATAGCTCGAGATACTTTCGGTTAGATGCCAATTTATCGATTTTTGTTGCTGCTGGTGCACTTAAAGCGCTACTCTGACTTCCAGATACTTTGTGTATCTGTGTTACTTTGAGTGTATCTGTGTCGGTGTGTGTGTGTTTGTGTGGGCGGCATTTTCATTTTCAAGGAAGCCCTTCAAAGTTTTGTTTGCTTTATTTTGCAACATGACATCGGGGCAACGACAATTATCCGCTTAGCGTGTGCGGGCCAGTGCGGCAATGGGCAAAGTATCTTTAAGATACAATTGAGTTACAAATTACTGAGCAGTCGTCTGACATAATTAAGCGCTTTTCCCCAATTTGTTGATGAACGTCGGCTAGAAACAATTGGTTTTCCATCATCATTATTCGATACAAAGATACGATGATGCAGCTCTAATCAAGTTGCCGCAACGTCAGTTGCAGTTGATGATGTTGCAGTTGCAGTTGATGATGCAGCGTAAACTAAATTAAGAGCCACGCGGGCAGACAAAAGTATCTGACGGATTGTCGTTGAGCCGACAGCTGAGCAAGAGGGACAGCCGTAAAAGCGATAAATAATTACGAAAAAGCAGCAAGACAAAAAAAAAACCCCACTCAAGACACAGCGCGTGCTATTGAACTTTGCCAGCAGAGATACTTTTATTTTGCATCCGTCAGATACTTG